AAAAAAATATATCTTCCATTCCTTTTGTTTCATATAGATCTCTTGGGGGGGGGGAGCCGGAATCTGTGCTGCAGAGTGATGTGAGACAACTGCACTGTTTGAAGATAATTTTCAAGAAGGCCCTGATTAAATTTCCAAATGTTATCCTAGCTCTCTGTCTTTATCAAACTCTTTGAGTTCTGAATTGTGAAGGAGAAGGAGCATTGTCCAAATTAGTACTTAGTAAAAAATGAGAGTCCCCTGGACTGTAAGGAGAATAAATCCGTTCTGAAAGAAATCAATCCTGAGTGCTCACTGGAAGGACAGATCCTGAAGCTGAGGCTCTAATACTTTGGGGATCTCATGAGAAGAGAAGACTCCCTGGAAAAGACCCTGATGTTGGGAAAATATGAGGGCAAGAGGAGAAGGGGACGACAGAGGATGAGATGGTTGGACAGTGTCATCGAAGCAGCCAACATGAATTTGACACAACTCCGGGAGGCAGTGGAAGACAGGAGAGCCTGGCGTGCTCTGGTCCATGGGGTCACGAAGAGTAGGACATGACTAAACAACAACAAAAAAAGTTGTGTTCCACAATGGCACCCTTAAGGTTTGGACATTATCCGCTATAACCATAGAATCCTCCTTCTGAGAAAAATACCTTGATCTCATTTCTCGGCATTGATAACAAAAATGAGCGGGGGAAAGAAGTAACTTTTAAAGTATTCTAAAGTTACTTTGCCATTGTGAGAAAATATTTTCTTTAACTTTAGCCATAAAATCAAATATAGCTGTTAGGTTGGTTTTTTAAAAAAAGTTTTATATTTGTCGTTCCCCACGCCACCCCGCAAATACTGGCAAAAATTGCACTGACGGAACGTGCGATGAGAAGAGGTGATTATGGGGTGCTGAAATGTACATTCTCCGACAACCTCTCAGTGGCTGAAATCCAGTTGTAAGTCACAACTAGATACGGTCTATTGAATGAGTCCACTTTAGTTGTTGTTTTCTGGATTTCAACCAATGTCTGCTAGGGGGTTGGCCTAAATGACCCATTGAGTCTGTTCCAACTCTATGAAAGGAAAGAAAGGGACAGGTATTTTAACTTGTTCTCTGAACTTAAAATAAATGCTATGTTTTGTCTTTATCATGTTTGCGCCTGTAATCCATTTAATGGGGGAAGGGGCAGCCAAAATCAAGAGTGCTCGTGTACAGAATGCTGGACAAAGAACATGCTTGGTCTAGGTAGGCATTGGGATTATGCTGGATTCCTGCATTAAGTGCTAAAGACATTTGATGGCCTTGTAGACCCCCTTCCAATCATTGCATGATTCTAAGTTCTGGAATGCCAAATCCCTAGCCAGTATGGCCTCTGGCCATGGGGGTTGGGTATTCTGGGATTTGTAGTCTAAAAATATCTGTTCCAGTCTCCCTGGTCTAAGGTCAGCACCCCACCATCAGCTGTCAAGTTTCCTAGTCTGATTTGGGGCTACACATTCCATCTTTATCTCACCCAGCTTAACCATATTCTACCAGTGAACATTCCAGTGGATGAAAAATAACTGGGATGTGGGAAAGGAGTCTTGGAGGAAAGGTGGACTAAAAGGAAAACACATGCAAGGTTTTTATTCTAGTAATCTTTCACCTCATCACCTCAGACCATGCTGTATCAGGATTTCTATTCTGGTTAAGCTGAAAAACAGTTTTCAGACCAAGAGTGTTGGTTGTTGTGGGTTTTTCGGGCTCTTTAGCCGTGTTCTGAAGGTTGTTCTTCCTAATGTTTCGCCAGTCTCTGGCAAACATGCTAAAAGACAAACAGCTAAAGACAAACAGTAGAATTTATTTTAAGTTCAGAGAACACATTACAATAAAGAGTGTTGTTTGTCACCAGGACAGCTAAGGCAGTGGATTGTCACCAAGGCGACAGCTTGGGAGGCCTGGAGTCTTGGTTTTAAAAGCAACACCGTAAAATGATCCATTGTGGAGGTAGGAGCCTGAAAAACCAGCCCAGTAATTTTCTCTCTTGTATTTGGGGTTAAGATGAACCCTGGCAGTGTATGCTTTTCCAGGGCCCAAAGTCAAGTAGAAAGAGGAAGCATTTTCCATTGACTTCCTTGGGGCCTTTGACTGAGGTAAGAGAAGGCTTTTGCCTCCCAATTTTGTTGTTGGGAAATCTGTTAAAAAACAAAAATAGATTTACATTTTTTAATCTGTCAGATCTAGTTGATGAGATCTTCAGGACCAGTGTTTGTATCTGATCATTTTATGGGTGGGAGAGGCAAAAATAAAAGCCATGCAAACTTCAGAGAAAAAACTGGTGGTTCATGGAGAAGGGCGTAAAATAAGTATTCGTGATATGACAAAAGACTGACAGGGTTTTTTTTTAAAGCCACTTTGATTCCAGCTCTGTGGTTATCTGGTTCACCAGTAGCAACCATTTCTTGTGGTGCAATTATCTGGCGTTTTACCTGGCAGGCCTTTTGTATCAATAGCTCCAGCAATTTTCACTAAAATTTGAATATGCCCAATAAAGGGCTTGGGGATAGAGGTCATCCTCAGGTGTTGCATTGGGGAAGGATATGCAACCAAGGGAGGGGTGAGAACATTCTTCAAAACTTTACAGAGTTGAGAGGAGGTTGTGTTTGTCAAGGTAAAGAAGGCTCAAGCTGGCAGCAAACGCTATTTTGTTGAATGCTGAGCCATGCCGTGCTTTTATTAATCACAAACGCATTGGTATGTCAGACCATCGGTACCCCTTGTATTGTTGTGGATAGAGAGACTGACTAGAACTCAGGAGACCCAGGTTCAAATGCCTACTCGGTCATGGAATCTCCCTGGGGGTGTGAAACCAGTAAAGCCACTCCTTAAATATCTTACCTTGAAAGCTCTATTAGTCTCACAATGTCAGTTATGACTTCACAGCTCATAGCTAACTATATCGGACCACTAGATTTTACCTCTATACAGTCAAACCACTTGTCCAGTTAGCCCAATACCATTTCCTTTGCGATTATCTAGGGAGAGGGACTTTCCCAGCATGCTGTAATCTGCATTTTCAAAGATTTAGGTTTGGGTTTGTTTGGATGTTTCTAGTTTGTTTGTTTTTGTGGGGGGTTTTTGCATGCAAAGCATTGTGCTTTACCATTGAGTGAGGGCTCAACTCTCTGCACAATGGTAGAATCTGCCCCTTTACCATCTCTAGCTACAAAACTTGGAGATGTAACTTTCTGGATTACAACCCCCAAAATCCCCAGTGAACATACCAATGGCTAAACTGTATGCAAGTTCTCAGTATCGCAAAACCTAAATGTCTTAAGCCCTGTGAAACAGAACAGAGGTACTGTAGCATTTTTCTTTTTTCTTTTTTTTTGCCCTATCTACTTTTGTCTGTTAAACCCTAGGATATGTGGCTTCACAGAACAAAATGTTCACCCCCTGCATTTAAACCTTAGCCAAATAAAATATCTTTAAATTGATATTGGCTGATCTGTTTTGTCAAAGTCTTTTCGGAGAAATTTGAGTATATGTAGGAAAATAATGCCCTAAGAAGAAATCCTTTCCAACCAAATTGCTAACAGTTCTCATTGTCACAGTCTCGTTTAGCTTTTGCCCCTAGAAAGGCAACTCTACATTCAAGAGGTGCCCCACAGAAGGACAGATTTGGCCCAGTGGCTGCTGCTAGTTGACCCCTATTTTATGACTTCTAAGGCTGAGGCACGACCTATACATGGATGAAGCAGGCAAAGACTGTCAAGAAAAGGAAATGAAGAGCACACTGTTTGCCACACCAGCAGCTAAGTTAGCTGAAGCACAGAAGAAGGCAGAAAAGTTTGCAAAAGAGAAAGAGGTAACGTGTATTATCTATATGTTTCCTTTGGTACCTGCAGAGTGCTAGAAATTGCTGGGCTCATACTGCCTTTTAATGATGTAAGATACCTCTCATGGTTCTTAGCTTTACATATTGTCTTTCAATGTTGTAAGCCACCTTGGGTCCTTTTCAAGGAGAAAGGAGGGGTAAAAATATTTCAAATAAATAAATAACATAGAGATGTGTCCATCACATTTTTGGACACAGAGTAGGTGCTTCGCCACTGAGCCGCACAAAGTCTATTGTTCAGTGGCACAGTATGTGCTTTACATGGAGAGGTTTGCCTGTTCAAGCCATCCCATACCTCTCTAGGCAATGGAATCTCCCTGGGAAGAACCCTTCCTGAAATTCCAGGCAGAGGCTGCCACCCAGTGTGGACATTACTGGGTTAGATGGGCTAAACTCCTAAAACTCCTACTTAGAATGTTATCTCTCTCTTATTCCACATGGCCAAAGAAAAAAGGGGATTGTACACAAAAGCAGTGTGACAAACCCGGAGAAATGGAACATTAACAGGCCAAGACTAATGATGTCGCTGACCTTGGAAACATTTCTGTTTGGGGCTACAACTCCCCGAATCCCCCAGCCCTTCTTTGCCACATTACTTGGGCAAGTTCTAGAAGTCAAATAGGAGTTTAAAAAGTAATGTTTTCAAGCTCTGCCAGCAGCAGATTTTAATATATTTTATTGTTTAAAATTCTCTCTCTCATGTCTCTGCACGTGGGTGTCCTGCAGCTGTCCTGAGTATTGCGCCGTCTGTCCATGTTACAGTGGGTTGCAACAGTGCGATTCCAACCTTTGTTGCTGCACACATTCAGAAAGGAAGGCCACTCTTTCATAAGCTACATCTGGGAAAGGAGCAAAGCCTGCCCAATATGTTTTTGCCACCAGAGACAAAGACAATTCCTGAACTTGAAGTTAACTTCCTCCATAGGCTATGCTGGCTAGAGTACTCTGGGAGCTGTAGCATCTCCTATCTGTGCTTCAGAAAAAAAGAATGGCTCCGAAGAAATTTCAATGGGGATTTTCACGGCTCCCTGCTGTATTTACCACCTGACACAGTTGGCTCACTTTGCTTAAGGGTAGAGCCATCTATTTTGCGGCTCAGAATCACGCTGTTCTGAAACTCCCTTTAACAAGAAGGCACCTAGCTAGTAATTTCCTTTCTAACAGCAAATCTGCCTTTCCCCCCTCTAGGCTCATAACACCTGCAGGGAACTGATTCAATGTACCGCTCTCACCCGAATTATCTATGGAAATGAGCACTGGCGTTTGGCACAGGCACTTGCTAACCTTGCTCACAGCTATCTTACACTCCGAGGTAAAGCATTTCCCCGCTGGTTCCATCAGGAACTCTAATCAAACAACCTGGGTCCTTTTTTTAAAGGAGAAGCAGAGTAAAAATATTTTTTTAAAAAAATTAAAATAAATCTTCTCCATTACTTGCTGAAGTGCCAAGGCATTGTTGCTTGTTCCCTATAGCTAAGATTGCTGCTTGGAAGAACATGAAATATTGCCACTGTGTCCCACGTGGTTCTCAATGCAAATGTTGCCATTTTTATCTTGAGGTTGTCCGTGGTGGGACCGCTGAGGGTTTAATCAGACAGGAATTTACAGGGTAATATTTTTAGCAACATGTGGATCACGGAGAGGGCGCGACTTTTGTCTGTCAAATTTATAGCTGTCACACGGAGATCACATCTTTTTAGAGGTGGCAAATCTAATCATGGCAGGGGCATCAAGGAAGAGTGCCACGGATTAGAGTGATGTTGAGTGTTAATGCTGCATGACAGATGTGGAGAAATACAAAAATGTGTGTCACATGTGGGCGTCTGCAAAGGGCTTTTTTTTCCCTCTTCCCTTTGGACTCTCTCACACTGACACACACGCACTGTAATCTGCCCTTACTTGGGAAGCTGGGAATAACAAAAAGAAAGTCCACCTTCTTTGAATTCTATGCTTTTAGAGATCAGGAAATAATAAAAATCATCTGGTCCTTAGCAGGTCTGAACATTAGGTACCTCAGAGGAACAATAGCACATGACATATTACACTGGGCCATGATTTATTTCACAAACATAAAGCCAAAATTGAGAAACCATGTGTGAAAAACTAAGTATATCTTATGATTCAATAGCTTGTAGAAGCAAACCTTTAGCAGCAATAACTTGAAGTAATCATTTTCTGTATTTATTTATTAAACGTATATACCGCCCATCTAGAATATGTCTACTCTGTATGACTTTATCAGTCTGTCACATTGTTGGTGGAGGATTTTTGGCCCACTCTTCTTTACAACTTTGCTTCAGTTCATTGACATTTGAAGGTATTTGTTTATGCACAGCTTTCTTAAGGTGCTGCCACAGCATTTCAACTGGGTTGAGGTCTGGGCTTTGATTGGGCCATTGCAACACCTTGATTCTTTTCTTTTTCACCTTCAGCCGCTCTGTTGCATATTTGCTGTTGTGCTTGGGCTCACTGTCCAGTTGCATGACCCAGTTTTGGCCACGCTTTAGCTGTCAGACAAATGACCTCTCAATTGACTCCAGAATACTTTGGTATATAAAAGAGTTCATGGTCAGCTCAATGACTGCAAGGTGCTCAGGTCCTGTGGCTGCAAAACAAGCCCAAGTTATCACCCCTCTACCACCATGTTTGATAGTTGGTATGACAAGTTTGTGCTGATATGCTGTTTCTGATTCTTGCCAAACATGGCACTGTGCATTATAATCAAACACCTCCACTTGGGTCTGACCAAAGGACATTGTTCCAGAAGTTTTGTGGTTTGTCCAGCTTCAGCTTTGTAAACCAAAGCTGTGGTGCCATTTTTTTTAGAGATAAAAGACTTTATCCTAGCAACCACTCCAAACAAACATGAACTTTAGCATTTATAATACTGAGGCCCTTAGTTTCTGAGATGTAACTCTTGGGGCTTTTGCAATTTCTCTGAGCATCGCACAGTCTGACTTTGGGGTGAATCTGCTTGGATGTTCACTCCTGGGAAGATTGCAACTGTCTTGAATGTTCGTGAATAATCTGTAGAATGATGGACTCTAAATTGTTTGAAAATGGCCTTCTAACCCTTCCCAGATTGATGGCAGCAACAATTGCTTCTCTATAATCATTGCAGATGTGTTTCCTCCTTGGCATTGTGTTACTACACAATGGTATAGTCCAGACCAGCAAACTGCTAAAACTTCGGCTTTTACAGTGGACCCTCGACTTACGAAGGTCCCTACTTACGGAAATTTCTAGGTAAAAAAAGCTCCGGCTGCAAAATTTTAGTTTGACTTGCGGCTGGAGCTTCGACCTACGAACGGCAGGGGGAAAGGGCGGGAAATACAAAGCAGCCCCTGCTGCCCTCTTGTCTGCCTCCCATCCCGGTTGGGACGCGAAGCAGAAGGCAGCCGGGACATAAGGGAGAGGGCAGTGGGTGCAGCTTTGGGAGCCCAGGATTTTTTCCTTTGGCTCGAACGAATTAAATGGTTTTCAATGCATTCCTATGGGAAATGGACCCTCGACCTATGGAATTTTCGACCTGTGGCCACAGTTCCAATACGGATTAATTCCATAAGTCGAGGGTCCACTGTATAGAGGTGGTCACACTTGTTGATGATCAATTACTAAAGTGCATTTGGTTAGCAGCACCTGGCTGCTACTTAGCTTCTTAATTCCTATGGAAGCAGAAAGAGTGTGCTTAGTTGTTCACACATGGCTTCATTTTGGCTTTACCTTTGTAAAATAAATCATGAGATGCTGTAATATGTCACGTGTTATTGTTCATCTGATATTGTATTTACCCAATTTTCAGACCTGCTAAGGTTAAGGTGATTGTTATTATGTCCTGATATATAAAACCATAGAATTCAAAGAGGGTGTACTTTCTTTTTCACATGACTGTAGCTGTAAAAGCAATATGGCTCGCATGCATGATGGGCGGGAAGCTAGGGATGTGCTGCCATCCAGTGGCCCTTCAACAATTCCAAAACAAAGTGCAGAAGGAATGGCTGTCAAAGTAAATCCTAAAAATCTTGTCACCATGAAGCACACTACTTCAGCTTGATACCCTCCAGACATGCTGAGTTACAGAAGTTATAGCCCAATACATTTGGAAACCACCAATTATCTAAAGATTGTGATGATCACTTAGGAATCAGAAGAAAGCCCTCTCTACTTGGGTCACATGTGCAATAAAACACTGAATTACAGTAACATTAAAAAAGTCTTCTGGAATCATTATACAATCAGGCTCAACACTCAAATAAAATGACATTAAAATTGTTAAGAATGATTAAAGTTGAATGATTTTATTTAAGCCAGCAGCCATTAGATAAATTGACTAAGTTGACTAGATGGGCGGGGTTTAAATGTAATAAATAAAATAAAAAACAAATAAATAACCAAGCCTATTTCAATAGCTCAGTTAAAGCCAAAGTTAAATAAACTACTGCATTTTTCCGTGTATAAGATGTCCCCATGTATAAGACCCCCCTTTTCTAACAAAATTAAGAAATCAAGCAGAGGAGAAAAGCAGGAATCAAAGTGCTTTGATCCCTTCACCCCTCCTTACTTCCGAGTATAAGATAACCCTCAATTTTTAATCTAAAGATTTTAGACAAAAGTATCATCTTATACATGGAAAAATACAGTGTTTTTGATGTTACGCCTCTTGTCCTGCTGTTTATGTAGAGATACCAACTATATTATTTGGTTAAATGTTTTAATTTTATTGTTTATTTAAAAGCAAGTTTATTTGTGTATAGCTGTAGCCATTACAAAAAAATTGAATAGAATAAAATATATAATATAATATACAAATAGAACCATCTAAAATCAACATTATCATGTGAAACAGTTCAATCCTCACTTAAAACATGACCATTATAACTACAGAACTTCCTCCTTAAAGCCATTGCTTTAAAAGCAAAGCCAACTGCCTTTTCAGAAACGTATGGCACCTTATCCCCCAATAGAAAGTTTATCAAATATGCACCAGATCTACCAAATGTGAGACCTAACTCTTGTAACAAAGCTACTCTCTGGTCTTTATAGATTGGGCAGTCAAATAAATAGTGGGTTAGATCTTCAACTGCATTAGTTCCACATAGGCAAACTCTTTCCTCCAAGGGAATCTGTTGGTAATGTCCTTCAACCACTGTTTATTGTAGTTCATTCATATAGGCTTTATTTACTGTTGTAAACTACCTGGAATAGTGCATTGCACTAATAGGGTGGCATATGAATGAATGAATGAATGAATGAATGAATGAATGAATGAATGAATGAATGAATGAATGAATGAATGGATTTGAAAAGTTTAGTTAAAGACCGAAAGTGATAGGGTGAAGAGTGTATTGCAATATGCCTCATCAAACAACTTTTAAGAAAGCCTTTCAAATCCATTTATTTCAGTTTCTCTTTAACTGAGCTGTGGAGTTAGACTTGATCATTCAGATTAACGGAGCGTGATCTTTTAGTGTGTTAGTGCTGGTGTATGAGAGTTCTGTACATCTGGCGGCCACCCCCAAGAAAGGCTGTCTTACCCACCAGTCTTAACTGATCACAATGGAGAGGCCATGAGTAGGACTTCTGATGCTACTTTCAGACATGCAAGTTTTTGTTGCTGCAGGTGGTTCCTCAAATAACCTGGCCCGCAAATGTCACTTTAAAAGATAGTGATGTCTTACTAGCACCACAGCTTTTAGGGATAACCGTGTTCATTGAAGACTGCTCGCAGTTACAAGAACATTTGACTGAACCTTTGATACAAAGATAGAATGAAATGTGCACCAAACTGCAGTGTTTCTTTTTAGAGTATCTTATTAATTTTTCCAGGTCTTCCTGTTCAAGCTATGCATCATGCAAACTCAGCCAAATATACTATCTTCATGAGAAGAGGTGCTTCTGCAACACCCTCAGAGGAAAGGGGAGAGATTTTAAGCACTCTCGTGACCATCTACTATACCTTGGGCGTAGCAAATGTGATGCAGAAAAAATATCCTTGCAGGCCAATGATCACAATGGTAGGTTTGGATATGAGAAACCAGCCAAGTCTTGTGCTCCGTTACAAAGCTTACCAAGTAGCTTTGAAAGAATGAAGACTCAGTCTACTTCACAAGCTTGATGTGAAGCTAAAATGCTCCTGTGGGATCCTTGGGTGAAGGCAGAAATATATATGTGACCTTCATAATTTGGGAGATAAATTGGAATCTCTCAAAAAGATAGAATTCTTAATTTTACCTATATTTCCTATGTGCCCATAATGTTAAATTGTGCAATGCTCTGATATGAATAAAGAAAACAAAAGATGAATGCACACGTGGTATCAGCAATACAATATACACAGTGCACAAATAGACAAGACTATATACACAATATCAAATTAATATACACCTACTGTATATGATGCTGACATGGTGAATTAGACAATGAAAGCTTGTATGAATAGGCAGAATTCTAACATGCACCTAAAATTAAAAGTTGTAGGAGCACAGTGAATCTTTGAGAGAAAGGCATTTCATATCATGGGTGCCTCAACACAAGATGCCCTGCTCTGAATGACCAAACAACAGATCTGGCAAGCATATGGCATGATCAGCAAGGACTTTCCTGACAGACTTAAGGACCAAATAGTTCTATAGGGAAGAACACACTCCTTCAGTTAACCTGGCCCCAAATTTTATGGCTTTATAAAAGAGTAATCGCAGTATAATTAACTTGTGCAAGTGTCCCTTTCTGCCTTTATGCCTCAGGGTCTAGTGGTTAAACCGTAGTGTTGCAGCCAAAACTCTGCTCATAGTCAGCTTCGATACCTATGGATCTGACGGCTGGCTCGAGGCTCACTCAGTCTTCCATCCTTCTGAGATTGGTAGAATGAGTACCTAGCTTGCTGGCAGGGGGCAATGTGTAGCCTGTATATTTAAAAAAATTTTAAAAACCCTAAACCACCCAGAGGGACGTGGTGGCGCTGTGGGCTAAACCGCAGAAGCCTGTGCTGCAGGGTCAGAAGACCAGCAGTCGTAAGATCGAATCCACGCGATGGAGTGAGCGCCCGTCGCTTGTCCCAGCTTCCGCCAACCTAGCGGTTCGAAAGCACGCAAATGCAAGTAGATCAATAGGGACCACCACAGTGGGAAGCTAACAGCGTTCCGTGTCTAAGTCGCACTGGCCATGTGACCACGGAAGATTGTCTTCGGACAAAACGCTGGCTCTATGGCTTGGAAACAGGGATGAGCACCGCCCCCTAGAGTCGGACACGACTGGACAAAAATTGTCAAGGGGAACCTTTACCTTTACCTAAACCACCCAGAGAGAGCTTTAAGCACTATGGGGCGGTATATAAGCAGTACACTTTGCATTTGCTTATGCAACACTTCCATTTTCCTCAAGGCTTGTGTAAAAATTTCCTCACAGATTGGATTTTCCATCTTAATTATTAGCAGTGGCTGTCATTTAGGCGTGTCATTTTAGGCACTCAGGTGTTTCGGGCCAGACAGAAATAGAATATTTCCAGCACGAAAAGAAATCTCCACATTTCTAAAATACATAACAGTCAAAGTACATGCATGCAACTGTTCAACTGGTGCTTCTGGATTTATTGATGCAGCCGCTTCAGTGTCACTTCTGTATTTATTGACATGCAGCCATTGATTAGCAGTGGCTGGCACTTAGTCATATGCAGAACACCACATAGGATTGATGCTCCAGCAGCAGGTGTGTGCATAGATGCGTGTTAAAACTCTAGCAGCCTTTCTGGGTTTTCTTTGACTTTTCTACTAGCAAAGAATCCTACCTCAATCTGCAGACGGCTGAAAGGATTATGGAAGAACTGAAGCGAACAGACTGGATAAGTACTCCCAAACTTAAAGTTTCTGAGAGAGACCTGTCAGTTGCATTCGGAAGGTAAACAAACGGCCAGCTATCCAATCCAAGCTAATAAAGAGAGGTAGCACTGCATATTGAAGGGGATGCAATTTTATATGTCCTGCCAGGGAGTGTTGGAGTGTCTTATTCTGAGCAGAAGTGCTTGGGATTATACCATTAATGAATGGCTGAATCCTACAATGCAGAAGTTTCAAGGTGCTGGGACTCCCCACTCATTCCCTGGTATTCTACTAGGTATATACTTTGTCTTTTCTGTTGGAGTTTTTACAACTTTACATGGTACCACAGTAGTGACTTGGAACAACTTTTCTAAGTGATTTGTCAGTCTATCCAGCAAGAGAACCTTGCCTCATTGCTTTCTGCTCCTTTCCCTCTCTTTAGTCTGTTGGAAGAAGCCTGTTTTCATTTGTTTGTTCGCTGTTGATCTCTTTGCAACTGTAAGCAACCTTTCTCCTATCGATGACCCATAGTGAATTATTGAGACTTCAAGTGCCAGTTTATGAGAAAGAGGTGACCCATCTGGAGAACTTGAAACTATTCGCCTCTGTGAATCTGTGTACAGTACTTCTGCTGTGTAGCAAAAGCAATTCTACCAGAAATTCAAAACTCTGCAGCATTTCCTTCATTGAGCTCCAGGCAATATCTAAAGCTTTTCTCTTCCCCATTTCACTCAGCAACTCTGTAAGGCAGGACAGGGCGAGAGTGACTGGCCTAAGATCATGCAGTCAGATTCATGGCTTAGTAGGTACTGAATCCTGCACCTTGCAATTCCTAGACCATTCTAATCACTGCACCATACTGTTCTGTCCACTGTATTGATAAAGACTACAAAAATTTGCACTTCTGGCTAGCAATCAGTGCCCAGGTCAGCTAAACAACAACAGGAGTTTTATATTTCTTCAACAGTTACTTAGCATTTTTAATTTTTCTCTTTTTTAAAATTGGGCTTGGAAACATGTTCACCATTCTTTTCTTCCAGGGCAAATCTGCAGAATAAGAAGTTAGAACTGGCCGTCAAGCATTTTGAGAAGGCCATTAATGCCACAGTATCAGCGGAAGGCGAGATTGCTCCAGAACTGCTTAACCTTTATCAGGAAGTAGCTCAAATTGAACAAGCAAAGAAGAACTATCATAAATCCATAGGGCATTTATTACAGGTAAGATCCCTCATAAAATACAGGAAGAAAGCAGGGTTTCTGATTTTACATTGTAGGGACATGAGCTGTCACACCTTAAACAGCTGTACGGAAGAAAGAGTTTCAGCAGCTGTAATCCTGTCTTCTACACAACTATTAAATGCACAGGAGCCCTCTACTTTATACAACATTTCTGATATAATTGAGCAGCCTATTAAACTCCCTTGGGCTGCAACGCTGTGTTTGGTTGCTTAAGAGTAAGCCCCATGGAACACAATCAACCTTACTCAAACCAGACAGGGACGAAATTGTGAAAATTACTCTGACACCTTGTTTGTGATGTGTTTATAAATGGCAGCTTTCTATACTTGTTAGTTTTGTTATTTTAAAAAAATGAAAGCAAGCTTCCTGCCCTTATAGCAACAAGATGTACAGGAAGAGATTCATTCAGTGTTGGTGAAATTCCAAAAGCTGGGCAGGTGGAAGAGGAGAGAATGGGGGTTCAGGTGGCCGTAGCTTCCCCATTTATCCTCATGGCTGCCAAGAAAAATAAGTGTGCAAATGTACTGCTGAATGAAATGGTTCAGCTGATTTGTGTCAGTTGTATCCTTCAATTTTCTTGGGAAAGAATTCATATTCATTGAAAGGTTAAACATTATGCTGCCTCACCTGGCCCTTCCCCCACTCTACACAACTACATCCTGGGCCAAAAGGCTCCTCTTTCTTGGCCCCACCTGTATTCTTGGGCAGAGGGCTTCACATGTCCGTGGGATCCCATTCCCTAAGATTGAGGGCCAAAACATGAGACCAGAAGATGATCAGAACCTAACCTTTGCGGTAAGGCAGTTGTTGTTTATTGTGATGCATTGCCTTCTGTCAGGGCTTGTGCAACACAAAGGCTTATGTGTCCAAATGGCCCAATAATCCCAACTAAAGGCGCTCCCCACCTCTTTCTGCTGTCCCTTCCTGGCTTTTTGGTGGGTCAGTGTTGCACAAGCACAATATGCACACATCTTTGTTCTGAGCTGATGATCTCTGGTGGCAGCAGGGAAGGAAGAGAGATGGGTACCTAGACTTCAATGCCATGTTGAGAGGGAGGGAGGGAGGGAGGGATGTTCCCCACACCACTAACCTTGAAATCTGTGCCACCACCTGCAGAAACATAGCAATTATCTTGAGATACATACGGATATTTGGCAACCCTAGTGGAAACAGAGCCCCAGTTTAAGGCTATGAACCAATCAGAATTCAAACAACTCTGGAATGTGTAGCCTCCCAAAGTAACTTTGTCCAAGTCTGGAAGAGACAACAGATTCTAAAAATAAGAGCTGTCAGATATTTCAGGGAACAAATAAATGTGTCTATTGAGGAAGAATGGAATACATACAGTGTTGACAGCAGCCAAAGTCCTTTCTTTCCCCTCCTCAACAGGCCCATTCAATTTCTCTAAATCTGTACAGCAAATTCAGTATGGAAGCAGCATCAACAGCATTGTTGTTGGGTAAGGCTTATGCTTCAACTGGAGAAGAAAAACACATTGGTGAGTAGCAGCTATACAGCGGGATAAATTTTAAATCTGATTTAACTGAAATATTTTATTTTATTGTGGAGTGTGCCCACAAGTGTATTTCCATCAGTGGCCTGAGGATCCTAAATATCATTATGAGTAGAGGCATGACAATGTTGCTGACCCATGAATATCAGTAAGCAGTGTAAGACTCCCCCTTGATATCAGAGGTTGACAGATTTTTTGAGGGGAGGATGACTCTCCTCACTTATCTCTTTGTGGATCAGATGCTATCTGAGGTAGAAGCCCAAGATCCTCTTTGGGATGAATAAGTTGCCTCTGTTGAACAGCAAAAAGAGCAACAGCCTATCATTAGGTTTTGTGCTTCTGGATAGATGATTCGAAATTATGCTAACAGTACAGCACATTTAATACAAAACATGCATTCCAAACATTTTCTAGAGGTTGCTGAACTGTACTTCAGTGAGAGCCTCACAGCCTACAAAGAGGTGCTTGGCATGGACCATTCTCAAACGATGGAGGCCCTGAAAGAGTTCTGCAAATGGCTTGCACACACAGGAAAAAGAAAGGTAATCGTGTAACCCCCTATGAAATATTGGTTCAGCCCAAAGGGGTGGAGCCAAGGGTGGGATTGCTGAAGGGGTCAGAGTAGCTGTTGCTGCTTAGATTGCTAAGGCCCTTATCAATTTGGTCTAGGGTTTTGAATACTGCGTGTGGAGCAGATTCTTCTATGTTAGGGATACCAAACCCAGCAGAAAATATCTTGAATTCTTGTCTGATTTTGAAATGCAAAAGGACAATAGAACTTCACAATTTTGTAAGCAACTTCTGTATTGGTGCTGCTGCAAAGGACTTGAGTGCACAAATTATAGCATTTGGTTGTTGTTACATTTGCTCATGTTGTCTGTCATATAACTGTGAATAAGAAGAGTCATTTTGGTGAAAATGTGTTTGCAAAGTTCATCTTAATAAGCAAAGAGAACTGTTGGAGAGCTCAGTGGTTTAAGTATCTCGCTGTGGAGTCAGAGGCTGTGAGTTCAATTCCCCGCTGTGTTTTCCTGACAAGGGCTGGACCCGATGATCCATAGGGTCCCTTCCAGGTCTGCAGGTCTAAGGAAATGATTACAAACAGCCCCATTTAACTTAGAAATGTTACAACAGCATCTCCCCTGGGACACAGCTATGAGATTTCAGCCATGTTCTCAATAATCAATATAGATGTTGGAACATTTCAATAATTTCTTCTTTTCCAGAAAGCCTATGACTTACTCAAAGAGTCATTTAAATCTCAGCAAGATCCATGCAGTGATTTCAACAAACAAGCAGCTGAAAGATTGTATATTATGGGCTGCATTTGTCTAGCAGAAGAGAAACTAAAGGAGGCATATCAGCTGCTCAGTGAGGTAATTACCATGCTATGGTTCTATCACTTTTCAGCTTAAACAAAGGCAGTTCATTTTAAGGCAAATAATTTTCCAGAGACAGCAAGTTGCATGCTTAACTTTTCAAGATAATGAAAGTTGTTTCCATTTGATAGCTACAAATAAGCTATCTCCCTAGAACTGGTTCTGAGTTTGCATATATTGGTTAAATGAAATATATGGGAGATGCATTATCTTCATACCCACCAAAGATTCTACATCATATGACAACATTGAGGGTGAGCCCTATCATTAGGTAAAGTGGGGCAGCTGCCTCAGGCAAGATGGTGCTGAAGAGTTAAGAAAGGACAGCCATCTGTGCTTCATTCTCTGCCCTGTGTCCTTTTTACTAGCATGTTGCTTCTCAAGGATGATGAAGGATGATACTTTCTTGCTGTCAGCATTGAAGTAACATTCATGTGTTGGAATGATGGTGTTTAGTACTGGGGAAAGGGAGGATTCCTTCCTCTTGTACTTCTGCACAGATATGATTATGAAGAACTCTATAAAGCAAGAAAAGGAAAGCGTCAAGGTCCCCATATTCCAAAGGTTGTGCTTCATCCCAATCAGGAAAGAGACTGATCAAGAACTGCTGGATAGCTCAGTGGTTTAGGGACTGGGTTGTGGAATCAGAGGTTGGGAGTTTGATTCCTCACTGTGCCTCTTAACAGGAGCTGGGCTCGATGATCCGTAGGGTCCCTTCCAGCTTTGCAGTTCTAAGATTATTATTCTTATTGATCAGAGATAGCAAGACCTTTCATTACTGCCTGGAAGCACCTACAGAGTCTGCCCAGCTTCACTGCAGCCCTCCCCATTAGGAGAAGAGTGTTAGGGGAACAAAATACAGTGGTGCCTCGACTTACGAACTTAATCCATTCCAGAAGATGGTCGTAACTCGAATTGGTCGTAAATCAAAGCACCATTTCCCATAGGAATGCATAGAAACCCCATTAATCCTTTCTGGCCGGGGGGGGCAATCACCAAAAACAACAACAACAAACAACAAAGCATGACCCATCAGAATGTGCCAGAAAAAACACACACCATGAAACAAAACAACACAGTGTTGGGTTCAGGCAATGAGCAGGCTGATGGGCTTTGTGGTGATCACCAGATAATGGATAGCAAAGAGTCTCTTAGCAATAGATTAAAGAAGTCAGCCACACACAAAGATGGAAGTCTGCCAGCAGTACTCCTTTGGTCTCTCTCCTGTCCGTCTCTCCTGTCCGTCTCTTCTGCCCTGCCCCCAGGAGACTGTCCTTTTATTAACAGTACAAGGTCCCAGGTAGTGACATTACAGATAGTAGACAGAGTTCAGATAGGACAATGATCACATCATGTTATTAGGGTTGGTCTGGAGAAAGGCAATTAATCAAGCCCTCTGATTGGCTTAAGGGGAGGCCTCTATAGCAAGCTCTCTATGATAATGAGAAAGAGGAGGAATTGTGGCAGCTTCTCCCCTCAGAAGCACCCACAGGATGCTAGGAGAGTTTTCCCTCACTAGAACACCCATGTGGCTTAGCAACCTTCGGAATGGTACCCCCACAATACAGCAAGATCCATCGGAAAGCCCTGGGTCCAAAAACACACACACACCAAAAAACAAAACAAAATAAATCACAGCACAGAAACATAAATCACCCCCCAAACCCAAACCCACCTTGCAAAACCCTGTAGGTACTCACTGAGAAGCAGAAAGCAGCACCAGGCAGTATCAAGCCTCCTCCAATTGCACGCACTCTAACCGTTGGGGCGAAAGAGCTACAAAGAAGCAGCCTCTTCGCCGACCAACGGTTAGCAATTTAAATTCCCCGCCTTTCCCCCCACCTCTTTTCTGATCGTAACTCAAACTCCAGTCGCAAGTTGAAGCAAAATTTTGTGGCCGGAGCTGGTCGTAACTCGAATTGGTCGTAAGTCGGGACGTTCGTAAGTCGAGGCACCCCTGCAAATAACACTCTCAAATTGAATGTTTGGGGATTCTGGAAGTGTTTTTCTTCTGTGCTGTGCTTTCCAATCTGAGAAGACAACAAAGGAGCAAAGGCTGTTTCCTACTGAAACATCAAATGGAAAGAGTGTGGTCAGGTGGTGGGGTCATGGACCTTGACACTATCTAGATTGTGGAAGGGGGAATTCAGAGCCCCCCAGCCCAACCTCATTTCTGTTCCCATCCCAGTTGCAAAGGTTCACGACACAAGCAACGTGTCTACAAGATGGGTTCTGTGCATGGACTCAGCCTCTGACCCACAACCACTATCTCCACTTAGCCTAACAAAAGGCCACTCATGTTAGTGAGAGAACCTCTAAATCAGAGCAGGTCCATTCTTCATTTCTTTTTCTCCACCTGTTCTAGTTAAACAAAAATGTGATCTGACCTTTATGCTACTACATCCAAATAAACTTAGAAGGCAATAATGTGGTTTCCCCCCCCCCTTCATTTTGTATACATGCAGTGTGTACAGATCCAGAATACTCTTTATGGGCCCCATCATGGGAAAACGAAAAAGATACAAGAACTTCTGGATGTGCTTGAGGTGTAAGTTTTACTATTTTAAAAGATTTGGGAGTAGTGGGCAAGTTAAAATCAAACAACTGTAAAAGCTTCACAGGCTGGCCGCACCAGGAATGATTTTTAAATGCCTCTTACTAATATGGAAGCTTTCCAGATCTACCAGGAAGACTGGGAGGAAAAGCAGGAAGTCCAGTCCCTTTGTATCCTGACCCAGCGATAAAGGTTCATACAAGGGCACAGCCTTTCCTTGGCAATGCTTTCTTTTCTTGGGTTTTACTGGGGAGAGTGCCTCTGCTTCAGGTTGACCTCCTGTCCCACCCGCACCTCCCAATTTGTGACACACTAAGTGGCCACTCCAAAGGAGGTCTGGAAGTCATCAACTAGAAACAGAATCATCTTGGTAGTGATTGCCTTGCTTTGGAACGCCCTTCCAGTTGAGGTGCATCTGGCCCCCTCCCTCCTGAGCTTCAGGAAGCAACTCATAACTTGGATCTTTACCCAGGCCTTTGGAAACTATAACCCTTCTTGATTTTTATATATGGTGTAATGTCGTGTCAGTGCTACGGATTCTTGTTCTAATTTTCCCATTTTAAGATTTAGTGATTTAGAGAGGAGGTTTTTAAGAGTGTGTTTTTGATTCTTGATTCTGTATGTTAACTATTTTAGTTCTGTTTGTCCATTTATGCTTTTTTGTAGCTGCCTAGAGTAGTGGCCTGCCACTAATGGGTGTGTGTGTAAAAATCCAATCAATTTATTATGGATTTGTTCTGACCTGTATAGACATGGAAACAATGAGTGTTTCCAAATGGTGTTTTGGAGAGGTTTTAACCTCATTCAACACACCTTGAATCTCTATTCTCTGATCTGCCTTCCGATTGATCAGGAGCACCTCTGTCTTGTATTGATTGAAATCTAATCTTTTGGCCCTCAGCCAATCCATTACCAACAGCAGATACTGGTTTAGACCAGAAGCAGCTTCCTTGGAGTTAAATGGAGAAACAGAGCTGGGGGTTCGACCTCACACTGGCGACACAGAACTCAAATTCTGGACAGCCTATCCCAGCAGTTTCATGTTAATATTAAATAGCATGAGGACCAAAATCAGAACCCTATGGAAAACCATAAAGTATCGAGCAGGAGCCACTCAGCACCACCTTATGAGTTTGCTTTTCCAGGAAAGACTGGAGCCACGGTGAAACAGTGCCTCCAAGTCTCATCCCAGAGAGATGATGTAGAAGGAAATCATGGTAAATGGCATCAAAAGCTACTGAGAGGTCCATCAGAACCAAAAGAGACACATGTCTAGCTCCTTGTGTAGATCTGCTAAGGTGATCAAAGCAGTCTCCATCCCAAAACCAGGCCTGAAGCATAAAAGCCAATGTCAAGGGTGTTGAACTTAGTAATCTATATTCAAACAGAGAGGACATTTCTATAGCTAGAGGATACCAGCATGTGCACATACCTAGGTTTTCCATTGAAAAGGATACGTTAAAGGGTTCATGCAATGAAACCTCTGTAAAAATGGTTTCTATGAATCTCACATTATGAAACTGGACTTTCAAGCCTCTCCCCAGCATGTGCACATACCTAGGTTTTCCATGGAAAAGGGTATGTTAAAGGGTTCCTGCAATGAAACCTCTGTAAAATGGTTTCTGTGCATCTCACATTATGAAACTAGACTTTCAAGCCTCTCCCTCTTTTCCACTTTGGATTAATTCAGCATCAGCCTCATCACATCTGTAATAATATTCAATGAAAGCTCAACAGCATACATTTAGAAACAGCAGTACCATACTTTGTAAAATAGTAATAGTTATGTGCCGTCAAATAAATTCTAACTTATGAACCCTTTCTAGGGTTTTCTAGGTAAAGAATACTCAGAAGTGGTTTACCATTCCCTTGTTTTAGGGGTGCCCTGGGACTGTGTCGCTTCCCCATGACTGCAGAGGCTGGCTCTTCTTCTAGGGGGCACAGTGGGGAATTGAACTCTCAACCTCTGGCTCTACAGCCGTATACCTAAATCAAAGAACTATTCAACCAGCTCCCATCCTTTGTAGAAATAATTAATTTACCTGGCTTAGCTTGTACAGCTCACCATTTGTGGGAGAGCAGTTCTGTATAGCTAGACAAAACTGTAAAATCAAGTATCAGATTGAATACCGCTTGTCGCCACCTCCTTAAGAGCAAACAAACTGAAAGCAGTGCTACATAATAACCAAATGTTTTATTTTGCTGTTTTCCCCCTATAGATGATAAAACTAGATCTATGAAAAACTGCTGAGGGCAAACAAACTCTTTGCTTTTTTCCCCCCTGCAGGGTTCCTGCTGCGCACAAAGAGACCAGATGTACAAAACGGAAACAAGGGGCAGAGCTAAGCTGCACAATCCCAGATCTCTAGCCAAATGCTGGATTAGGCAGTGGGAAATTGCTCCAAACAACAAGAAAAAGCTGGCCTCTAACATCCTGTTTATATTCGGTCAGCGATGTAATTGCAACATTAATTTCGGTTGCTCTTCTCCAATAGAGAGGCATGCTTTAAATTTGGCAATGATCTTGTTTATCACTTTCGTGTATTTGTTTGATTCTTTTAAATATTTGTATAACAATAACTGTGTGCTATCAAGCCAATTCTGACTTACAACAATGCTTTTTCAGGGTTTTCCAGGTAGCGAATACTCGGAAGTGCTTTACCATTCCCTTCTTTGGGGGGTGCCCTGGGACTGTGCAGCTTGCCCATGGCTACACAGGCTGGCTCTTCTCCCAAAAGACACAGTGGGGAACTGAATTCCCAACCTCTGATTCCTCAGGCCAATACCTAAACCACAATACTTACCTTTTTTGCTTTTAAATATAGTCTTTTTAATGACATAAACCACCTTGGGGTCTTTTTACCAAGGGTAAAAAATACTATTTCTTGGCAGACCTTGGCAACACTTCCTTTTTTGTATTTGTTGTTGTTACAGAATGTATAGTTGCTGAGAACTATTAGAATTTGCCAGTAATGCTTCAGAACCATCACTTTACTCCCAACCAATATCTCTCTTCACTGCCTTGAAACTGACATCTGACCCATTACTGTTAATTTTGTAGTGGACACATGGGCAGCCAGCCAGGGATAAGTTGCATTCCCACTATATAGAGATAAAGATATCAAACATGGTCATTAAGTATTTTTGTTCACAAAAGCAACATCACACCCAATGACTGTTGAGGTTCAAGCAAAGGGTCAAGACTCAGTTCTCTCCTTCAGCAGATGTAGCTTTTAAAGCACAGAGGAAGAAGATTCAAATTTTCTTGTGTGTTTTCCCAGAACCCCCACAAAACTGGTCTCCTGGATTTTCATTCACAAAATTTGCATTTATAATTTAATATCTTCCATGCTTTCAATGAAAGGGAAAGGGAGATAATAATAGTTTGTCTTCTGGAGCTATAGCTCTCCATCAGTGATGTCCTCATCAGGGCAACAGTAATACTCCACAAAGCAGATTTGTCCATCTTCATTCCTGATCATGTATTGCAATGAGAGAAAACCTCGGTTATCTGTTCGAATTGATACTTTGCAAGATAAAGCTAGTGCTTTAATGGACGGCTTGAGCAACGCAATCTTGTATCTGTAAAGAAAGAAATGTGGTTAGCTGTAACAGTGAATCAGATGGAAGAGTAGCTAGCAGATGAACCCACAATACCAGTATTATTAGAAAATATGGTTATAATATTTCCTCACAGCACATCAGCAACACAACCGCCCCACCCAAGGAACGGGACATAAAAAGTCTTTATGGCCAAATATGATTAGCACACTCAAAGGAAAAAAGATATCATGATGAGGAGGCAATATCTATATGGACTCCAGATGTTTTCCTATAAGTCACGGATGGGCAACTGGCAAAAGATATTGTCTGTCACTGTCAAAACAACTGTCTGCTCTCTAATCCACCCTTGTGAAGATCATGAGATAAAGAACAGGAGAAGGTCATCACTAGCATCCAGTTTTTCTGTAGAACTCATATCAGCACACCAAAAAGGTGTTTGGCAAGCTGATAAGAACTTGATTCTGCTGGGAAAACAGGAGAGACGAAGATGGTTATCCTGGAATGCCCTGTTCCCCAGCAGAACCAGGAAAGAGAAATGAGAGGACAATCAATCCCATGTGCCTTATTTCTCAGAAGGATTGTTGGAAAGAGAGTGAAGTTAAAGATTCCCCCTCCTCCCAGTAAGATCCCTGAGATCGGGGAGACTGTAATTTTGGTACAGATCCCTGGAATGGAGGTGATGATGAATAAAAGCTTCTCTACCCTCATGCTTACAATGTTGAGTAGGAGGCTTGGGATGGGAAGAGTTATAGTTTCCCCACCATCTCTGCCACACCAAAAACAACAAGAAGCTTTATAGGACTCCAAACACCTATTAGTATAATTTCTGAAAAAGTAAGGCACAGTCCACAAAAGCTTCTGTGAGATAAAATTTGCTAGTGTTTGGGTTCCACAAAACTCCTTGCTGCTCCAGCATCACTGAAACTTCTGCCACAATGCAGAGACAGGGATTATGTTTGTAGCTTCTGGCTACCAAGATAACCTCTCAGGGCCACAGAGCTGCCCACCCCCACTACAAGTGATCAAACATAATCTCCAGTTAATAGTACAGATGACCTTCACAGCATAAGGACACACAATTTAGATAATCCAAACTAACTACTGTAAAGCAATAGTTACTTGAACTCAAAGAGTAAGACCAGAACCAGTAAAATCAAATAGTTACTGTAATACTATGGATGTATATGAACAGTTCTGGCTCACCTGTTTGTCTGGGTTTGATTACAGTGAAAAGCTTCAATTAGGTCAGAATCTTTGGGGTAATCTAAATGTGCACTTCCAGCATTCCCAAATGTGGATAACCTTTAAAACAAAAACAAAACATAAAAATAATGCTTTGCATTACATCGGCAAAACAAACTTCAAATTGGTAAATGATGCCAAATTAAAAAAAATTTAACTACTTCCTATTATGTAAAAACAAACAAACAAACAGCCAAACAAAAACTCACCATATCCCAAGTGTTTGAGATGATTACTACTTTAAAAATGATCGAAAACCATTGTCAGGCACATGGTGTCTGAGGTTTGTGGGTATATGTATGTAATTTCTCATAAAGCACAAGGAGAAGATATCATTACTTAAAGCAGCACAGATTTGGGGAAAACTTTTAAAAATGTATCTAGGACAATAGTCCCCGGATACTCTTGGGTCCCCACATGCTCTTGGATCAGATTTGGGGAAAACTTTTAAAAATGTATATAGGACAATAGTCCCCAGATACTCTTGGGTCCCCAGATGTCCTTAGATTACAACTCCCTGAAATCCTGTCCATCAGAGCTAATAGTGAGTTTCTGGTTTGGGACAATATATATCCACATTTTCACAAAAATTTTGGACTACATTCATTTGGGTTCAATTCACCCAAATGTGCATTTTTAGGCATCATTACCTCTGTAGAAGGAGGCATTGGGGAAGACATGGAAATTACCACCTTCCTCAAACACACTTCTAGGCCACAAAGATGAACGTGCAAAGCACAGTATAAGCAAGATAATTTCATACTTTCTCACAGCAAAGTCTGCAGCTACCCCAAAGATCACTCTCCAACACATTCTGAACCAGTCCCACGTCCTCCACTATACTGCTACAGCATAAATGGTTATTCTCAGATTCACAAACAGTGGTGCCTCGCTTAACGACATTAATTTGTTCCAGCGAAATCGCTGTAGAATGAAAACGTCATAAAGCGAAATAAAAAGCCCACTGAAACGCATTGAAAATTGTTCAGTGTATTCCAATGGGCTGAAAAACTCACCGTCCAGCAAAGATCCTCCATAGGGGCAGCCATTTTCGGTGCCTGTAGAGCGAGGAATCCGTCCAAAAACACAGCGGGGAGCCATTTTGAGCACCCGACGGCCATTTTGAAAACCCGATGATCAGCTGTTTTGATCATCGTAATGCGAAGAATTGGTTCCCAAAGCAGGGAACCGATCTTCGCAAAGCATAAAAACCCCATTTAAAACATTGTTTTGCAACTGCAATTGCAATCGCAAAAACATTGTTATGAAGCGGATTCGTCATTATACGGGGTAATAGTTAAGCGGGGCACGACCATAGTTATGCTCACAATGGATACAAATTTCCCACATCAAAGTCCAATTCTTTGTCCATAAGACCATCGCTGGATCTCACACAGCTGGTACTACTAGTGTATGAACATATGTCATATTGATAAAACATCTGGCCCACTTATCTAGTATTATCCATTCTGACTGGCAGTAAATCTTCAAAGTCCCAGCTAACAATCCCCCACATACTCACTTACCTGAAGATCCTCAGACTGCAATCTGACATATATTACCTGAAAAAACTGCAAGAACCTTCATGCCAGTAGATATATGTAGAACTGATCTGCCAGATACCAGGGAATGAACCTCAGTAAATATGCTTAACTGTTGAGAGTTACCTCTTGACATAAATATGGCAAAAGTTATGCCAGAACCTTGACTGTGCTCCCTATAATGATTATTAGATTTCTAGCCACATAACTATTGTACTGGGGAGGACAATTCTGGTACCTGAAATAAGGCTTGTCTGGAGACATTGTGATCTGCAGCACCTCACTGGTCATATCTAGTTCAGAAAATGCATCCCGCAGGCCCTCCGACTGCAAGATTATTTTGTTCACAACATTTGTGCTGCAAAAATCAAAATCGAGGATTTCTTCTGGTTCTTGAGTGTTGATTTTGCACACAGTCACAACACTGGCTTCTTCTAGAAAAAGTGTCAAAGGGTAACCATAACCTCGATAGCACATCCGAAGAGCTGCTTGAGTTCCTGAATGACAAAAGAAAGGAATACTTAAGGAAACCTTTAAGAAAAAACTTACATACTGCTGTAGATCTCACCAAACACACCATAGTGAGCAAAAATCCCTCTGAGTATAGTGAAATCCACTTCTGAATTAGCACACATAGAACCATGCTCCAAAACTGTCAGGAGCTCACTCTCAATCAATGCCTTTTACTGCTTCTCGGAAAATGATACTAAACATTTTTATTATGTAAACATTGCAGAGGAATATTTCTTATTGAATCCATAATTCTTTAAATATTCATAGTCTCAGTCTCTACCAAGCAAACAAGTAATAGGATGAATCTGTTGTCTAACAGTCTTCAACACACAATTGCATTTGGCCTGTAATCCATTAAAACACACACATAACGCAATACCTGGGAAAGAACTTGTACCAAAGATGGTCAAACAGTCTAAAAGAACAGAGAGATTGATTCTGAACATCACAGATTCTTCTTGTACCACAAATTCTTGGAAAATTCCTGCCTGTAAATTGAAAAAAAAAATAAACTCAAAGGTAATAAGGTGTAACAATGATATCCTTATAGAACTAGCACCTTTAAACTGGAGAAAACCAGGACAATTAAGCTAGCAATGTTGATGCATTCTCAAAACTCAGCTCACTTGACAAAATAAAAATCAAAGAACAGACTTTGACAAAATTAAGAATCACAGATGAAGTAAGTGGTGAATGTTAATGCAGAGGTGAGTTTGTTATAGCTAAGGAAGGACTTTGCTGAAGTAGTAAATTTTTTCATTCATATTGTTGTACTTAGGAGACCGTTGCGTCCCAAGTTCATTCTTGTCCCTCCAGGTGTTGCTCCCATTGCCTTTAGTCTCAATGCACTTTTGGTGTTTAAAGTTAAAACCAGCAATTTAAATTGAGCCTTTGCATAGTAAAGTAGCCAGTCTTGTTATTTTTAATATTGTTCCCAGGCATCAGGTTTGGTTTCTGAAGGGCTACTTCTTCCTCCAACTCACCCCTCCCCACAGACAAATATTACCAATACGATGTGTCCCTCTGTCCACATTTGAGATGAGAGGATATTTCCATGCAGTCCAGGAAGACAAGTTATGCTTGTAAAATGCTGCAGGAAACTACTGCAGCACAGGAAGAGAGAACCTCTTTCTCTTCTCTCTTTTCTCTTCTACCCCCTGCCACTAAAGGCAGGAAAAAAACTAGTATAAGATCTCTCTTTTTCTCACACACTCAAATGTTCACAAGCACACTGAGAGAAATACTTCGAGAACATTAATCATCTTAACTGTAGTAAACATCAAACTTCTCAAATCTAACATTGGGTATTAGCTACTTGCACTTAAGGTTTCTGCACTACCAGCAAGACATGCTAAGAAATCACACTGGGATTCATATAATTTGTCAGAACAGAATACTACCAGACTTTCCATGGGAGCATTGTATGTTATTCTTTATGTTAATCTACTTATTTCAGCTTAATTCAAGTCTCTTAGTAAAATCAAATAAAAGTTTATGATGCTATCCAACCTGAATGAAAGCATTGGCCTGCAAACACTTCGCGTTTTCCACTGTGACTTTGAGTCCATTTGTAGTAGCAAAGCAGGTGGCGTGATCTCTGAAATGAATGGCCTTCAGGATATTGGAGAGGTTTCTGACATTGTCCAGAGTTGCTACTAAAACATTCTGCTCTTCTCCTGTTTCAGCTTGGGTTGATAGGGGCATAGCTTTGAATGGTCACACTACAGCTTATTTTTCAAGGGCAGAAAAGAGGGATCCAGCAATTCCCAAAGGAGACCTAGAAAAGTCCAATTACATTTAATCAACATTATCATTTATCAATATTACACAGCAATTCTATTGACCAACATACCTGTGGATTGTTAGGGTAATCATAGAATTCAACCTGACTACCATCTTTTGCATTTTCATCTCTTCCTTTATTTGCCTCCCATTTCCTGAATCTCCTACCCTATAAGCACAATGATCTCCTGCCTCAACAAACATGCATTTATAAGCACAGTGGCAGATTACTGAAGGGGCACAGCTGTTCCAACCTTGTATTCTCGAAGGCTTTGAAATACTCAACTATCCCACATAATATACTAGAACACAGACAGACTTCTAACTCCTGTCTTCTGAAGATGACAGCCACAGAGACAGGCGAAATGTTAGGGAAAAAAACCTTCAAAACATGGCCAAACAGCCCGAAAAACCTACAATAACCATTTTCCAACCTTGCTTGGAGAAATCCAGTACATCATCACTTCTCTATGAAGGGCACACAAAACTCATTAACAAAAACCAAAGCTGCAACTCCACACAAAACTAAGAATAGGGAAATTTTGTACCAGAAAAAGAGGGTCCAATTCTCTATAAATACCTAAAATATTACTGGATTACAGTAAGGTAGAACCTGCTATTGGCAATGCTTTTTGATCTGGCACAGAGAGGCATCTCTCTGTTTCTTGATGTCTCCATGACAGAAGCTAGAGGAGACTTTCATGTCACACAGATATAAGAATACAATAGGACCCCCATATCCATGGAATCAGTATCTGCAGTTTTACTTACCCAGTCTAAAAATATTAAAAATATTAAAAGAAAAAATCCAGAAAAAATTTCAAATGTACTACCAAAACCGGCCACAGTTTTGGTAATGCATGTGAAAATATCCTTTCTGATTTCCCCCGCCCCTTTACTATGCTAAATATACTACATATACATAGCATTTGCTATTATCCATAGTTTTCCATTTCCATGGTGTGGTTTGGAACCAATCCCTAGCAGATCTGGAGGTCCTCTCTGTATTGCAAAAATATGAACATTTTCTAGGTCACTGGAATCCTTTCTATTTTCTTCACCGCATCTGGGTTCGGAATTCAGAGAATAATGGATAAATCTGGGATTTTTGCCTTGGATGGAACATCCAGCCAGAAATGAATGGTATCAATGAAATTGGAAGAGGAGGCTTTTATTTCTATCTCAGCTCACTTCAGGGTCTTGTATGAATTTTTGCACCAAAAAACGCATTAGGGCTTATTTTCAGGGGATGTTTTATTTTTTCATGTACAACAATCTACATTTATTCAAATACAGTCATGTCATCTTCTTCTTCTGCACAATGCTGGAGGGCAGGGTTTCACTAAACTGGGGCTTATTTTGGGGGTAGGACTTATATTACGAGCATCCTAAAAAATCATACTAGGGCTTATTTTCGGGGACACGGGGTAGCTAAAAATGCTTTAGGACAGCCCTGCAATGTAGTTGTTCATGATTGTTACAAGCTAGAGGTGGAGCTGAGCCTATGAAATGACCAATCAGGTTGCAAGAAAAACCTCAGCCTAAATCACACTACTTGTGGCAGCATAGTGTTATTATTGCCTTGCACTTAGAGGTATTAAGCATTTAAAACTTACCAAACAAAGCAAAGCATAACGAGAGGTGAGGGCTAACAGAAGAGCTAATTTAGGTCCTGTGCTTCTTGGGGAGGGCTTTCTCTGTCACTAACCCCAGACTCTGCAACTCCCTCCCATAGGAGACCAGACTGGCCCCATCTTTGCTGTCCTTCCATAAGCAGGCAAGGAGCATTCTCTTCAAGTAAGCTTTCCCTTACTTGACTGGCTGCATGAGTGGTTTTTTTTAATAGATTGTTGTGCTCTGTTGCTTTTGAATATGCTTTTAGCATTGATTTTATTTACCAACTTTTATATAATACTTGCTTTTATTTACCTGTTTTAATGTAATTCTTGTTTAATTCTTTTTAAATATTTGTATCCTTCTCGTTTTTTTAAAAAAAACATTTTAATGAAAATTCTTTTTAAATATTTGTATACTTCTCATTTTTTTAAAAAAAAATTTATGAAGTAAGCCACTATTGTCTTTTAATGATATAAGCTGCTGAGTCCTTTTCAGTAAGCCACTTTTGTATACTCATTGTTTTTTAACTATTGTCTTTTAATGATATAAGCTGCCGAATCCTTTTTAAGAAAAAAAGGCAAGTTAAACTTTCATACATACATTCATACCATAGAATACAAACTCGTCTCTTTTCTGTTACCTTTTGATTCTACATGAACGTGCTGTTCTTCAGTCATAAGCATGAGAAAATCCCAAATTTCTCCCTTATATTTCAGCTAATCCCTTTACGGAAATATAATACCTATATATGTTTCGGATGCTAATAAATTATCTGTTGCAGGGGGAAAAAAACCCCAACATATCACTTCCCCACCGGGACTAAATACACCTATGATGGGAAAGCCAACACGGAAACGAATAGTGTCCCCCGCGTTCAAACCGGAAGTATACCTCAGAACCCTCGACTTCCGCTGCTCCGGGAATCCTAGAGCGGCCGCGCGGGTCAGGTGACCTCCGCTTGCGGAAGGAAGCGGGCCTTGGAGCCGGGAAGATGGCGGCGGCGAAGCGGCAGCGTGGAGCCGGGAAGGGAAGCGCCGCGGGGCCGAAGAAGAAGCGGGCCAAGAAAGCGCCGGAAGGAAAGGACGACCCGGGGAACGGGCCGTCCTCAGGAGCTGACGCGGGCCGGGATGAGCACTTCATCCCTCCGCCGGTGTCGCAGGTGGGCAAGGGCGGCTCGCTTGGCTCGGCGCGTGGTGCTGTCGAAGTGCTTCTGAGCATGGGCGAAGTGTTTTTGCGGTAGGACGCGCCCGGGGTGGCACCTTGGAGCCCGCTCCTGTATGGGCCCGCTCCTTCTGTCCACCTTACCCTTCAGTTGCAGCGGGCTCTAGTTCGGCTGCCGCAGGAAGAGTGGGCTGGCATTGCCGTTGTGTTGGCTAGTAGGAGCCAGAAAAAAGGCCCGGAGGATGGGCTGGGCGAGGGAGGAACGGAGACACCCCAAATCCAAACTAGAGTTGGAAAAACTTATGTGCAAAGACGTATTTTTCTCGTTGGATTATCTGTATCACTGATCTCACTTTGCAAATATTTGAGGGTAGGGGCCATGCCCATATTTGTCCAAGGATTTAACAACTGAAGTCTTTAATATCAATCTTTATGTTCTCTAGGGCAAATGGATAAACAAAGAAAGGGTGCTCATTTTCTCTTCTAGAGGCATAAATTTTAGAACACGACATCTAATGAAAGACTTGCGAACACTGATGCCCCATTCTAAAGCAGGTACGGTACTTACTAATCTTCTTTATCTGATTTCTCCGTCTTTCAGCTAGCTGATTATTGTTCTCATTCACGGAGCTCTGTGTAAGTCCACTATCAATGATTAGTTCGTCAGAAGATATTGGAACATAGAACAAAACTAACTGAATCCATAGTTACATAGTAGTTGGATGTATTGCTGTGTTTGTATGTGCATGTGTTTCCTGTCTTCAAAACATCTCCTGTGGAAAAAGATACAAAAAATAGCTTGTTGGTTCAGTACAAATGCAGGACTAGGTGATACTTTTATAGACCACTAAAAAAATCAACATACAGTCCACTAGCTTTCATGGATCAAGACCCTGCACTTTCTCAGACATGTACCATTATGAAGAACTTAAAACCCAGAAGGTTTTGGCAAGATACATTTTGCCAGGTACATTTTTCTTAGATACAAGTCAGAAAAGATGCAGCCTGCATTAGAGCTCTTGTTCTAAAATCACAGCAGAGGCAGCTGTGGATTGAATATCACTCCCCAGTTCTTCAAACAAAGAGGCACTGGTCTATGCATGTACATCTTTTCATTTCGCCTTTGTTTGAAATACAATGTTTCTGTTTAGCTAAGGAGAGGGATGAAAAACCCGGACCGGAACCCTCCATCTGGGAATTGGGGTGATGATTTAATAAACTCACAATTTATTTATTTATTTTATTTATTTATTCAGTTTTTACCCCGCCCCTCTAGACAATGTCTACAAGGCTTAGCCAGCTGGATTCAAAGGCAAAATAACATTACCTAGTGGTTGCAGTTCTGCTGTGCTTATGTTGAGAGTCCATATGTCGTCTTGATGGTACGGGAGGTGGTGGCTGTCTTCTTGGTATTTTTGTAATTCCATTGAAATAAAAGGGAGCCATGTAGTTATTACAACATACAAATGCAAGAGTAGGCAAAACATTTATAGACCACTAAAAAAGTCATCATACAATGTGGTGTTCCAATAAATATGCAGTTCTTCCCAGCCTTAATATTGTGGTTGTATGTACTGACAAGCAGCAGTTGTTTCACAGTCTGAATCACAATGCCAATGCTTGTAGGATATTCTGCACTTAAACTCTAGCAACTGGATTGGGAAAGATGGAACCGCACGCACAATAATAGTGCATAAGCATACACAATATCTATGAATAAATGCACACTGCTCAGTTGAATCACATTAATTGTCTGGAACAGTAATTTTGATAGAATGCTTCCTCAGAAAAAGGTATGCAAACTTAATTTGGTGTTGTTCTGAGTCTTCGTTCATTTTTGCTGATTTTTTAATTTTTCCTCATTGAAATATATTGGACGGTCCTTCCAATACATTTTAATGGAGAAAACATTCCTAACAGTTTAAGACACTTTTAAATGAGGGAAAAGGGACATCGTTATGTGAAAATCCCCCATAGGAAACATCGCTGTGTGTTCCATTTTCTGGCCTTAAAATTATTTTGTGCTCTATACTTTAAAAGATAGCAACAGTAAACTTTGCTGATGTTTGGAACAATGCATGTGAATATCTGCTCTTGTTGATTCCTATTGTATTTCCTTTGTAGCTCTTCTGATTAAATTGAAGTGTTTCTAACTGTGTAATTTTGCCTCATCTGTTACCTGCAGGTCTGTGAAATGAAAAATTGCAATAAATGCATATATTTTGAAGCAAAGAAGAAGCAGGATCTTTATATATGGTGAGAAAATAATTTGCTTGAGATTTGTGTGTGTGTGTGTGTTATCCAGTTTCTCACATCAGGATATTTCTGAAGACAAGTGCAAAGTGGAGTATTTGTCAGGTACCTGATTGGTAGTTACCACTGTTTCAGTGCTGGTGGTTGATGATTTCCTAAATCTATTAGAATGTGGGAGGTAATTAAGAAAACATTAACAAATGACATAATTCATTTTGTAAGTAGTCATTTAGGTTGCTTCCAGTTCCTGCTGTTCCTTCTCCTACCTCCTTATTGGATTCTTACTAATAAATTAAAATTTAAAGGTGCAGTTTCTTGCCAAGCATCTTTTCTTTTCACTTAGAAGAACTTCTGTCAGTGCAGGAGATACTACAGGAAGGGCTCCTTTTATCCATCACTTAGCAGAAACTCTGACAACTATGGCAAAAAGTTTAAGGTTAATTGATCATCACTACCACCATGACTGAATTTCATAATCCCTTGGCAATCCTGCCTTTATGTGTCAGTACCACGTGCTGTTTTGTACCATGCTGTTCTACGTAGCCCAAAACTAGTAGAGGCAGTTTTGAAAATACAGTATTCTCTCTCTCTCTCTCTGATGAATTTGTTGATTTTCTTAAATGATTAAAGAATGGGAAAAAACACAGTGTAATAGAAGGATAGTAATAGAAAAATATACGTAGACTTCAATAAAAGGGGTACAAATATTTTAAAAATACATGAAGCTATTGTTTTTTGCCACCTATTCAGTTGATGAAAGAGTAATAAGCACATCAGCTGATTAAATAAAGCAGCATTTTTAAAAGGAGGTATTAAATTGTGTTAATGGAGGAAGCTGTGGTTTTTTGCCCTTCTGGAGGAATGAGAAAAAATTGCTTTGGAAGCTCCAGCAGAACAACAGAGGAATTCAGAAACACTGTAAAGCCACTCTTGTGGGTAGGAAGTCACTTTGTATTTGGTGCTGCATTAACTTCATTAGGCAGAATCCTCGTGGTGTTTGCGTAAGATTGGTGTTACTTGCGGCCATTCATTGACAACGTTAGAAGAGATGTATCTGCTGTGCACTTGGTCATGTGCCCAGTAGCACAAGCAAGGTGCATCCCAGCCCCCTGTCACTCAACTGCAGCAAGTTACTCAAACTACCAGGATTCTGGCCACTGAAACTTAACCAGTTGAATGTCTGGCTAAGAAATTTCAGCATGAAGCCAGACAGTAAATTCAAGAAACTTGTGGTGGTTTTCCCCCCTTCCTGATCTCTCTTATCTGTTTCAGGTTTTCAAACGTACCTCAAGGACCGTCAGCTAAATTTTTAGTACAGAATAGTAAGTCCAGATGTTTTCTTGACTGTCTTCTTCTGTTGTTGACTTTGTAAACTAATTACTTTTGAATTATCTGGTGGGCCACTGACTATTTTTATCCGTTATCTCTACAAGATATTTGTATCATAGTTAGTTGCAATACTATTATGATTTTCTTCTAATATTTTGAAGGTTTGTTGTTGTTGTTTTAATGTGACCTGGCCTAACAACAACATCTTGACATCACTGAATTCCGCTTAATATTGTTCTAGTTCACACACTGGCTGAGCTGAAGATGACAGGGAACTGTTTGAGAGGCTCCCGACCACTCCTGTCTTTTGATGCGGCAAGTACAGATTCCCAAGTACTGTCATCCTTGTTTTCAGTACAATTGGTGCCTTTTGCCAGTTTCTAAAAGACTTTGTCCCGCAGGCTTTTGACCAGGAGCCCCACTATGCTTTGCTGAAGGAGCTGTTTATTCAGGTCAGTATATGACGTGTTGCCAGATCATTTCTTCTGTTGCTAGGCAAGCATCTTGTTGTTGCAAAAGGGCAGCACAGGTTTGTGCATGATTGACGTAGTAGCACCAACACACTTTAAAAAAAATCCTAGTTCCAGTTCCATAATGAATTATCAGAAATAGACCGTGTTTCCCCGAAAATAAGACAGGGTCATATATTAATTTTTGCTCCAAACAATGTATTAGGGCAGGGGTCATCAACCCCCGGTCCGCGGCCCAGTGCCGGTCCGTGGGCTTGCTGGAACTGGGCCGTGGACACAGCTCTCCGCCCCCCCGCACGTTTGGGGGGGGCGTGTCACACTTGCGGATGGGAGTGTCGCGCAAGCCTCTTGGGCGAGCCCGGCCTTGAACGGAGAGGAGGTGGCTTAGCCATGGTGGCCTGCTCGAGCCTGGAGGACCTCGAGCTGACGGGCAGAGTGCCTGAGCCAGGCCTTCCAGGACAAGGGCTTCTGCGCCATCTTCACTGAATATGCCGCCGAGGTGGCGGCCCTGGAGCGCCAGTGGGGCATCGAGGCCCGCTTCCTCCTCCCGGCTCCTGGCTGGGCGGGTGGCCAGCCCATCGCAGGAGTGGCTGCAAGGGCTTGGCTGGCGTTCTGGCCCAGTTGCTTATCCTCCCCTGACCTGAGGAGAGCTCCACCAACCGCCACCGTCGCCTCCGGCTGAAGTCCCCTACCCGGTGGGCCTCCCCATCTCCTCCCCTCCTCACATGCAGAGACAGGGTTGATCCCGGTCCCTCCGCCTGCTTGGGGCTGCGCTGCATTTGCTTGAGGGCTCCGATGAAGAAGAAAGATTGAGCGGGTTGGAGGGGAGGAGGGAGACAGGCAAAGCTGCAGCTTTGTCCGGACCATTGATGAGGGTGAGGGGTGTTGGCAAAGCCGGAGCAATCCAGTCCAGCTCAGGGGAGAAAGGCGGAGCATCAGACGCAGGCATAGAGGCAGCAACGGTTCACTTCCAGCCAGCGTTGGGGGTCATTTCCCACTTGTGCTAAGGGGGGAGGGCGCGCCTGAGCCGCTGCTACCTCAACCTCTGCGCAAGAACCGATGGACCCTCTGTGGCAGTCACAAGCCTGGACCCCTTGCCTTTCCTGCAACTGGCAGCGGCTCAGCTCCTCGTGGCCGGGGGCCAGGCAGTGTGTCAGGAACCAGCAGCTGCTGTCGGGTGCACTCGGGCTGGCCCACCAGCGAGTAGGCGCAGAGGCTGAGCCGCCGCCGGTTGCAGGGAAGGCAAGGAGTCCAGGCTCGTGACTGCTGCTGATTCCGCCGGATCTCTTTGAAAGGCGCACACCAGGAAGAGCTGCACCACTCGCCCCCACATGGAGGACTGGAGGCACTGGATTAGTCAGTCAGGCTTCATCCCCCACCGGCAGGGCAGCAGCGTCCTCCTGCAGTTCTTGGGAGGAAGTGAGGTCATCGCCCAGACAAGCCCNCCCCCCCCCCCCCCGCCGCTGCCCCATCCCATCGCTGTCTCTGGGTGTTGCTTGCTCCTAGGAAACCCACACGCTCCTGGGTGGCTGGCCAAGAACTTTGCCTTCCTCACCCTCACCCCCCTCCATGCAACCTAAAGGGAAAGCAGCAAAGCAGAGGAGAACTCGCTGGCTTGTTTATACAGGTGAATCCAGGAGTTAGAATTCCCCACAGCCAAGGTGCCTGGGATTCGTGTGGCTGGTACAAAGCAAACATGGGGTGTATACACGTGTAAAAGAGGGGGAGGGAGAAAGGACAGTGAATTTTCCCGCCCCCCCACCTTGTCATTGTCCTGGAGCGATTTGGCCAGAGATGGTATTTGGGGTGAATTTCCTGCTTATTTGCTCCATTGTGCGCGCCCCTCCACTCAATACGTTTCTCGCGCGCTTTCTGCACACCTTCGGCGCTCCTGCCCCAACTCTGGAGGAGTGAAACCCGGGGATCTTGTGGGATGAGGCAAGCGGATGTTTGGTTACATTGACAATTGTTAGGGGAGGGGACAGAAATCCCACTGGATTTTCCTTTCCATGGATCCTCCTGTTCTCCCCATCCCCATGTGCACCAAGTTTTTCTTGAGCTCCCTCGTTCCTTTTCCCTTCCCGTTCCGATGTCCCTCCGCTCCTGCCATTGAGGCGGTGGCGCACGCTGCCTTTGAATTGAACTTTTTTTCACCGCCCTCAAAGCAAGGGTGGGGTTTGGGGCGGCTTTTTTGGGCTTTGGTCGCTCAGGTATTCTTAAGCCAGCCACTTGCGAGGGTTGGGGGGCGGCGGCAGCAACAGAATCACCTCTGGATTGGAGCAGACACAGGAGAGAGGCGTGTGCGCCTGGGTGTGTATGCAGGCACGTCAGTTGGCTGGCTGGCCACCGCAAAGTCCCAGAGAGGTGTGTTTACCGGAGGTCTCCTCCAGCGCTGAAGAATGACCCGTTTCTTTCCATCTGGGGATGAAACGACTTGTCGCTCCCTCCAACACGCCCCTCTACAAGCGTGACACACCCACTTGCAGGCATGACACGCCCACCTGTGAGCGCGGGGGTGTCCTCACCCCCCCAACCGGTCTGCACACAAAGCCTGCGCCTCCAACCGGTCCGGAGTCCGAAAAACGTTGGGGAGCACTGTATTAGGGCTTATTTTCAGGAGATGTTTTATTTTACAGTCATGTCATCTTCTTCTGGTTGCAGCACAAGGGTGTAGGACAGGGCTTCACTTAATTGGGGCTTATTTTTGGGGTAGGGCTTATATTACGAGCATCCTGAAAAATAATACTAGGGCTTATTTTCAGGTTGGGTCTTATTTTCGGGGAAACGGGGTATATGCTGATGTTGTTGTTAGTGACATAACCACCACCACCCATGATATGAGGGGGATTGCTTAGCAGAGCATTATTCAGTATCTCCCTCCTCCCTTATTGCTGCTTTTTGAAATGCTGTATTTAAATCAAAAGTGGGAGAGTCTTTCCCCTTCTACATTTTTACACAACTCCTAGAAACTCTAGCTGGTACAGCCAGTAGTAAGAGACTATGCAGGTTGTAGTCCAGATGTCTGGAGAGACAAAAGTTGCTCAACCCCATCTCATCCCCTTTCTGCAGAACAATGTCAGTAGTAATAAAATGGCAGAATTGTTCTGATCATTTTTACTACATATTCAAGATTAATGGTACTGAGTAAACCTGGGGCCCTGTTCTGCAAGACTGCATGTGTGTTCATGCATGAAGCTTGACGTAAACAAGCAAGATTGGGCCTTTAGCTGAGAATTGTAAGAGGAACGCTGAGGTTTGTGATTTGTAAAAAGTTCAGCTAGGCCCAGACATCACCTCCAGTTCACGCATGTTGATTACAGTACTTGGCCTTTGAGTCACGTAGCTCTATAATATAATTTAGTGCAAAACAAAGCTGAGTCATGGGAGGATCCAGAAATAGCTAGACTACTTTACATTGAGTTGGTAATCTAGAAATACTGCAGTCATATACAGTACTTGTTTAGGAAAAATGGAGAAAATTATATCTTGATCATGTGATCAACTGTGCAGTAGAGAATATAGGAATCATAATAACTCTTCTTGCTACTGCAATTGCTCAAAAAAGTTCTTTTTTCCCTCCCCTTTTAGATTTTTAGTACACCACAGTATCATCCAAAAAGCCAGCCTTTCGTAGATCATGTCTTCACATTCTCCATAACAGACAAGAGGATTTGGTTTCGGAATTACCAGGTTAGCTGTTTTGTCAATGAAATGTATGCAAGAACTGTAAGCAGCATATGCTGATATTCAGGTACAGTTCCCCCATCCTGGAAAATGTTGTATGAATACTGGCTTAAACTGATTTTATTGTATCAAATTTCATATTCAGTTATTTTTTAAACCCTCCCCCAATGAAACGGGTAAGATTGATACAACAAAAAAGTCAGATTTAAACCAGCTTGTATGAAACTGGTTGCATTTCAATATCATGATCAACGGTGGTTCATCATTACAAGAATGATCCTTCTTTCTTCATAAGCAAATGTAATGTTTGCCACTTATGTTGTAGATTGTAGAAGATGATGCAGCCCTGGTAGAAATTGGGCCTCGCTTGGTCTTCAACCTTATTAAGATCTTCCAAGGCAGCTTTGGAGGACCAACCCTTTATGAAAATCCTCATTACCAGTCGCCAAATATGGTAAAATGTGTTTCACTGTTTTTTAAGCCTTATATTGCCTGACTGGTATCTGTGGATATACAGAGGTATAATGTTCTTGTCATAGATTGTCATAGTTTCTCTGGTCTTCTCTTAATGCTGTCATGCACAAAACTTTATAGATTTTTGAGCTTCATTTTAGTTTTGGTAAAGCATGCAGCAGTAAACAGGGTCTAGAGGGGCGGGGTATAAATTTAATAAATAAATAAAATAAAATAAATTGGAAAGGACTGGAGAGCATTATTGTTGTTGTTTTGACTTGTATACTGCTCCATAGTGGTACAGCACTCTCTGGACCGTTTACAACATAATTATGTAAGGAATACTTTGCCCCCCCCCCCAGTAAGCTGGGTACTCATTTTACCAAACTTGGAAGGATGGAAAGCTGAGTCAACCTTGAGCTGGATACGTGAATCTGTCAGGATCAAACTCAGGTCATGAGCAGAGGATTGGCTGCAGTACTGCAGTTTAACCAATGCTCCACGGGACTTAGTTATTGGATGCATTCTGTGTAGGCTTGAGTTGTATAACACCCTTTTTGCTTTAAAAAAAATCACTCACCCAGTACACTAAAGCAAACAACTTAGGAAGTATTTTGTCTTCAGTGGTTTACTGTTGTGGTCTGGAGATTCTTCTAGCTGATCCTGTCCACTCTTTGGCTTGTATATTTAACCAATGCTCCACGGGACTTAGTTATTGGATGCATTCTGTGTAGGCTTGAGTTGTATAACACCCTTTTTGCTTTAAAAAAAATCACTCACCCAGTACACTAAAGCAAACAACTTAGGAAGTATTTTGTCTTCAGTGGTTTACTGTTGTGGTCTGGAGATTCTTCTAGCTGATCCTGTCCACTCTTTGGCTTGTATAACTTCATCACAGTATCCTGTAATTGGCTGTGCTGGCTGGGGTTTCTGGGGGTTGCAGTTCAAAAACACCTGAATAACCAAAGGTTAAGAACCACTGTTCTAGCTGATCCTGTGCATTCTTTGGCTTGTATGACTTCATCACAGTATCATGTACTGTAATTGGTTTGTAGACAGTGACAAATGGCTGCAGATTGAGAAGACAGTGTAGGCATTTGCAATTGCTTTCTGAATTGTGTTCCTGGTCACACTAGAGAAAATGTCAATGTTAACTCCTTAATTTGTGGCAATTTGCTCCTGAGATTTGAGGATTTACATGATGCCAGTGAAAAAACGGCAGTAGTCATAACTGATCAGACATTGACCAGTGTGAATTGCAAAGCTGTTAATGTTGAGAATGAAGCTGACCAATAATAATTGATGTCAATGTTAACTCCTTAATTTGTGGCAATTTGCTCCTGAGATTTGAGGATTTACATGATGCCAGTGAAAAAACGGCAGTAATGTAGTCATAACTGATCAGACATTGACCAGTGTGAATTACAAAGCTGTTACTGTTGAAAATGAAGCTGACCAATAATTAATTAAAATAATCTACCATTTAATTGGCAAGGGCAAGGGCTGTAGCTCAATGGCAGAGTATATATTTTACATGCAGGAATTCCCATATTCATTTCTCACTATTGACGGAAAGCGCTTGAAAGAAAAAAATCCCTCAAATTCTAGACAGCTGCTATTATGAATATATATATATACAGGGAACGGATTAACCGGTTTCCAATGCATTCCTATGGGAAATGGTGTTTCGCATAGCGATGGTTTCACATAGCGATGTTTTTTTGGAACGAATTAACATCGCTATGCGAGGCACCACTGTATACTGGTGAACTAAAAGAATGTGTGTCCACACTTCATGCAAGTAGGTTCTTGATCATTACTCTTACCTAGGCATGCTAATTTACTAATTTAATCTCTGGTTTCAGCACCGGCGGGCAATAAGACTGGCCACAGCTGCCAAATTCAAAGAAAAGCAGCAAATGAAGGAGCTTCAGAAAATAAGGAAAAAGGAAGAGAAGGCGCTGATTCCTGAAGATCCCACAGAACAAGTTTTTGAAATACCAGCTGAAGAAAAGCCAGTGGATATAGAGTTAGTAAAGCCGGAGCCAAAAATTAACTTGAAAAAGAAAAAGAAGCTACATCAGCGAGAGAGGAAATTAAAAAAGAAACTTGGTGGAATTAGAGCATAGAATAATGAAGGGGCGGGGGAAATTAACTGGGACTCCGTTGTGTGGACATTTAATTGATTTTTATTATGCTTCTTGGTAATTTGTGTACAATAACTTTTGAAACTGTTTTTATCACTTATGGGGTACTTGTGCATTTTTAAAATAAAATTTCTGTTGGGGCCCTTTATTAAGCATGTCACTTCTAAAGTGTTTTGTGTCCTTAAAGTTTTTTTTTAAAAAAACAGCCTATTTTATTTACCTTGAGAAAAACCTGTGATAGCTGTTATCAGCAGAATATTGTAAGAGATCAACCCTTCCCATCTTTCATCAGCTTTAATACTTCGGAAAATGCAACACAAGAATGAGCTTCCTCTTTGTTCATGTGAGCAAAGCTAGAACTAAACTAAGACTGGAGAACATTTGGCTCTCCAGGTGTTGTTTTAGATTATAACTCATATAATTCAGAATCATTGATAATGGTATCAGGGCTGTCTGGGAGCTGAAATCCAGAACGTGTGCAGGCGCCCCATCTTGGAACTAAGGATTGTGTAATGTGACAGTTTTTCACATGAGAATATATTTCCATTTTGCCAAAGAGTTGAATATTGTATACACAGAATTACACCATTTCATCTTCCTGACAAGGTAAGCTAGTCTGAAAGACATCAAGGCTGTGTAGGGAACTAACTGAACATATTTTCCAGAGTCCAAATGCAGCCTAGTATCCCCCACAGGGAGGTGGTTTTAATATGGAAGATCAAGTTGGAACCAAAAGATAATGACCCTCAGTGAGTTTCCATGGCAGAGGATTCAAATCCTGATCTCCAGGGCCCTAATCTGTCACTTCGTCCATTCCACACTGGTTACCTAATACGGAAGATACCTCCAGTATGTATAGCAAATGGTGAAGTCTTTGCTGAAAATGACTTGTGACATCTTAAACTCCCAGGCTTAAACATCTAGCATGTTTTCATTGACCTAACCCAGTATGTATAGCAAATGGTGAAGTCTTTACTGCTGAAACTTAAACTCCCAGGCTTAAACATCTAACATGTTTTCATTGAGCTAAGTTTGTGGACTTTAGCCTGCTTCTTCAAAGTCCTCATCGTCCACCTGAACAAACAAGCTGAAGTCCTCACAAACTCGCGCCAATTAAAACAAGTTAGTCTTTAAAGTCTCATGAGAAGACTCCTTGGAAAAGACCCTGATGTTAGGAAAGTGTGAAGGCAAGAGGAAAAGGGGACGACAGAGGATGAGATGTTTGGACAGTGTTATCGAAGTAACCAACATGAATTTGACACAACTCCGTGAGGCAGTGGAAGATAGGAGAGCCTGGCGTGCTCTGGTCCATGGGGTCACAAAGAGTCGGACACGACTAAATGACGAGTCTTTAAAGAACCACAGGGTTTATTGTTTCCTTTCTTAGTTGGTTCAAGCCTCAAGCCCATACACAGTACAAGTCCTACTGAACTACCTGCCTTAGGGCTTAAATCTAGAAATGTTTGATTCATAGACAACAATATAAAAAAAGAAATGGATTCATCCCAGAATGCTAATAGTTTGTATTGGATCTAGAAGGCGATCAACAAAGAAGTACTAAAGTGAATGAATGAAGACCAAGAAATCTTAAAGCACAGAAAGCTAGACTTTCTCAGAAATGAACCGTACAAATTGTGTTTGTGTTTTTTTCAAGATAAAAATACATGGGAAAAGAAACAGAGGAAAGAGAAGGACTTACTAGGTAGAGAAACTTGGCGCCTGGTTTGGCTGCAACACAACACTTAGGTTAATCTATCCAAACTCGAATTAAGGGTGATGATATCTAACTTCTGGTAGGAGAGGAACAAAAAGAATGTACAGTATACGTATGCTGTTCACGGAATTAAACTCTGATCTCTGCCCTTCATTACATGTTTATTACCATCATTCTATATCGATGTTATAACCCAGAGACTACTCTGGTAACCATCCTCATTACCACGACGTCTCTCCAATACTGACGGACCTTAGAACGTTCGCATCGTCAACGTTCCACCGAGCTTCGTCAGAACGTTCTGCCTCCCGGCGTTCGTATCAAAGGACTTCCCGAACGTTCGCGTCCCAACATTCTACGCGATCCAAACAAAGCCCCTCCTCCTCTCCTCTCCGCTTACCCTTTCCATCCCGGAGGAGGCCCTCGCCTCCCTCCTCCTCTAATTCCTTAAGCCCGCCTCCCAACCCGGCTTGGCTTTCCGTATGGGTCTGGCGCTCCTTCCGGTCCCTCCCCTCGCCTTCTCGCCGGGTGCTGCTGTCTCAGGCACGCTGATGCCGGCTGAGGAAGCCGCCGCTGCCGCACTTCCCGCAGCGTTGACTGCCCAGTGGGGCTGCGCAGGCTTCGCTTCGGGGATGAAGTGTCACTACGATGGGTCTGGCTCTCCTTCCGGTCCCTCCCCTCGCCTTCTCGCCGGGTGCTGCTGTCTCAGGCACGCTGATGCCGGCCGAGGAAGCCGCCGCCGCCGCCGAACTTCCCGCAGCGTTGACTGCCCAGTGGGGCTGAGTTCCGCAGGCTTCGGGGATGAAGTGTCACTACGAAGTGCTGGGCGTGAAGCGCGACGCCTCCGATGAAGACCTGAAGCGAGCCTACCGGAAACTGGCACTGCGTTGGCATCCAGGTACTAGCCGGGCCTGGCACTGGGGGGGGGGGTTTAGAAGTTTTTTTTCCTCCTCCCTCCCACACTTTCCCATGAATTTCGCCTGCCCCCCCCCGGTTTGTTAGGTGGCAAGACGGCACAATAATAGCTCATCAACTAGAGACTGCATTTCGACTGTAACAAAAAGTAGTTCTTTTAACTCGCTTGTTGAAAGTCAAAAGGGAGGGACTCCCCCAGTTTTCCACTGGGATGGTGGTCCATGTTGTGGGGATCTGCTTCCTTTTGCTACTGGAGCTTTTCAGAATCTCCATCTTCCACTCTTAGCTTGCTTTGATGGCATTTTCTCTCTTACACACAGAGAAAAAGAGTGCTTTCAGGATTCCAGTCGAAGGCAAGGTTCACCTGCTGAAAATAACAAAAGATAAACAAAGATCTGTCTTTCCTGCGCAAACTTAGGTTGAGAGGAAATGTTGTCAACTTAGAAATAGGAAGGTTTAGATGCCCAGCCTGAGGAGGAGAAAACAGGAATTACAACTTAGTTGATCAGTTAAGCCACAACATAGGTTGAATATAAATTGCTGTACACCAGTTTATATGGCAGCCCTTTTTGTTTCTTCTCAGAAGTAATAAGGTCATGACATAGACTGTATACTGTACAGTATATCGAAAAAGCATTTTAAATGAGATCTGAATGCAGTTTGTTACTTACTTGCACCACCGTCTTACACACAGTATGTAATTTATAACTATTCTGTCACCTTATGTAAACGAATCTATTTATAACTTCAATTATACTCAACCAGCTCTGTTTCAAGTATGTTTACGAACTAAAGCCAAAATCAGAAACCTTTGGCCTTCCAGAATTTGGACTATAAACCACCCCCCCCTGATTATTGTTTGTCATTGCGCAGCAGGCCTGGGGGCTTCTAGAACTTAAGTCTATAATGGCTGGAAGGTTCCCATTGGAAAACTAAAGACTTTTTTCAACAGGATTTGCTCTCATAAGTTAAGCATGCACATCCAAACCCAGTTATTTAAAACTAGATCTTTATAGGGTTTGTGTGAAACACTGAAGTCCTGAGATTCAAGAATCAGGGGTAGAGATGGCCATGAACCGGTTCGACCCAGTTGGTGAAGGTGGCAGCATAAGCGCTGCTGCTCCTCTTCCCTGCCTCCTCAGCCACTCACCAGGCCCAGCTTGCTTGCTTTTTATACCTCCTCAACTAATCTCCCGGTCACAAGCAAGAAGGTTTTTTTGCATATTCTCATATGAAAAACTTCTCTGCCCTGCCCTGTTGTCTGAGTGGAAGATCAGCCAAGAGGACAAGGCAGAGAAGCCTGAGCTGTTGCCGGGACTGGAAGATCGGTTGAGGAGGTGCAGGAAGCCTAGCACGCTGGGCCTGGTGAGTGACAAATTGTGCCAGAGGAGGCCTTTATGAACTGGGACGAACCGGTTCGTGCCCATCTCTAATCAGGGGTACTGTTTGTGTTCCTCAAAATGTTTGACATTCATCTAGCAAAACCTGTGTGTAAAAGCTACAGTAAAAGAATGTGTTAGGAGGTCTGTAAGCCCCTTGCCTATGAGCTGTAGGTATTAGGGTTGTATGTTTAAATGAATAGCCTGACAAGAAGTTAAATCTAAACCTTCTTGACTTCGTATGTAACATTTCATTTTACAATTTGCTTCTTTATATCTCAGAAAAGTATAATAAAAACAACCCAGTATTTTCAGAGTTGTAGCTCTTTAATGTGGATGCAGTGAAGACGTCAAAAAATTCTGTAACATCTTAAAAATTGACAAATTTCCTACAAAAGTAGGCCAAAATAGCTTATCCCAAAAGTTTTTTTCTTCAATGGACTCTTGGACAGGATCGATTCGATTTAAATCAATTTTTAAAATTTAAATTGTGATTTAAATTGATCTCTTTTTAAAAAATCAGTAGTTTTTATACATCCTGCTTTAGGACACTGTTGGTTTTAATCATATGTGAAGTGTGTGTGTTTTATTGAGGTTGCTTCTATCACCCAAAATGTGGAAGGATGTTGATATAATTTGGCAATGCCTTCTTTGCATGTAGTCATGATGGCTGTGGCTGACAGTCAAGTGCATCTTACAGGGTCATGATGAGACTTGGTAAGCATAATTTTTGAACAGCTTTGTTAACTTTCTCTCCTATACAAGGCCGCCCAGTGGTCACTCTCATTGTGGTCAATTGGGTTTATTGGGTATAATAGTGAGAGAGAAAATATATAATTGAGTTTCCTGGAAAATGACATTGCTATCTGGGATTCTGAGCAAGAACACTCTGAGTTGAAGCATTTTACAGGCATATTTATCACCATCCTATCTTGGCATTCTTGTTTAGAAGTACACCCCCGTGCAGTCATAGTATGTATTTCTGAATAAACACAATTGGGGGTCCTCAGATTTCTTACAAGACTGAAACCCAGTTAGTAATCAGTGAGCAAACTGTAAAGTAGACTGTTAGTTCTGGACTGTGCCGGATTTTAATTGTGTTTATCGGTTTGAGTCTGAGAAAATCTTGGTTCTAATTGTTTCCAAGGACTAGAACTCATGGCATGAGGGTAGGTCAGCCATTTATTCTCAGAGTGTCCTACCTTGCATGATGGTTGAGAAGATGAAGCATGGGCAGGAGAGCCATGGATGTTGTCTTCAGCTCACTGGAAGAAAGATGGATGGATGAATGGATGCAGTAACTACAGAGGAATTAAATATATAGGAATTAAAAGAAATAAAATCCTTCTATGACACTGAATAGTGTGCAAACATTGCTATTTCTGACCCGGATGTGTTGCTTAAATTCTCCTGCTGTGTCTTTGCAGACAAGAACCTAGAAAATGCTGACGAAGCAGCTGAGCAGTTCAAGCTGATCCAGGCAGCCTATGACGTGCTGAGTGATCCTCAGGAAAGAGCATGGTGAGTCTTCCTTTCCTCTGTGGGCTGGTATAGATATTTGAGGTTGTCCAGTATCTCCTGGTCAGTGACAGTTCTGAGAAAGACAGTGTGGTGTAGTGGTTAGAATGTGCAACTTGGGAGATCCAGGTTCTAGATTCTATTGACTTGTGAAACTCTGGATGTAGCCTTGGGCCGATCACTCTTTCTCAGCATGGCCGATCTCACAGTAGATCCTGCAGCTTGTTTATAGGTGGTAGTGGTTGCTGGGTACTCATTTTACTGACCTGGGAAGGATGGAAGACTGAGTCACCCTTGAGCCAGCCCAAGGTCTTGGATATTTTTAGTGGCATGTCAACTGTGGGAGTTGTAATTATTGTGGTCTGAGCAGGTGAATGTTTTCTCCAGTTGAGTTCAGAGTAAACCTGCTTTCCTAGTTTGCTGCTAAGGAATGGTGTGTGCCACTGATGAGTTTTTTTTTTTTGGAGGGGGGTCAATAAGGAAGCTACTCCTTACTTATCTTTTGCTCTGCATAGAAATCAGATTCAGTGTTCAGGTGCAGTTGTGGGTGTATATAAATAGATGTGTATAAATTAAAGCACTAATACTTGATCAGGTGGGTCTGCAAGGCACTAGAATACTGGCCAAGCAGGAAGCTTGCCTACTTCTTGGTCTCCTTAGCGCAGGGTTGGGCAAAGTGTAGCATAGGGAATGCTTACCACTGTCCCTTCTTCTTCTTTTTCTACCTTGTCCTTCATTCCTCTTGAGTCCCACTGAAAATAACTTTTCCCCAGGTCAAGAAAGTACTTTTTTTTCCTTAAAAAGAGAGAGAGAAGAACTCATTTTTTAAGAGACATTATAGGTGTCCCACCCCCTTCATTGTTCAATACTGAAACATACCAGTTCTTCAAAACTGGAAATTGATTTCTGGCCCCTTCCAGGTTCTTTTTTGGGTTGGTATTGACCTAAGTGGTGGCCCATATGGTTCCAGAAGGAAATTGGCCCCAGACTTTCTAAAGCTGACCACCCTAGCCTGGTAGTATAGAATTTTTAAAAAGTGTGCAGATTTGTGTTTTTATTTTATTTTATTTTATTTTATTTTCTGGCCTCTGACATCCCTGAGAGTTTATTTATTTATTTATTTTACTTATATGCCGCCCACACTACCCAAAGGTCTCTGGGCAGCTTATAACATTTAAAATACAATAAAAAGTCAAAACAATTAAAATGCAATTCAAATATATACCCTAAAAATAGCCATCAGACCTACAGCTGATATTATTTCACTTAAAAGCCTTCTGGAACAGGAAGTTTCCAGGTTTTTGGACTACAATTCCCAGAATTCTCACCTAGGGAATTCTGGGAGCTGTGGACCAAAAGCACCAAACCTGCACACCTCTAGAACAGTGGCTTCGCAACCTAAGGTGCCCAGACATTCTTGGACTCCATTTCCCAGAAGCCCTTGCCTGCACAGCTGGTGGTGAAGGCTTCTGGGAGTTGCAGTCTAAGAATGTCTGGGGACCCAAGGTTGGGAACCACTGCTCCAGAATCATAGAAGGAATATCTTTTATCTTCTGTTCTGCCCTTGGAAGCCTTCACGGTCTCTGACGTTGTTTCTTTGTCAGGTACGACAATCACAGGGAGGCACTGCTGAAAGGAGGGGTCGATGGAGAATATCAAGATGACAGTCTGGATCTGCTCCACTACTTCACCGCCACTTGTTACTCTGGCTTTGGAGATGACGAGAAGGTAGCTCAAAGTGTCAATTCCCCAGCAAGAGCAAAGACTAGGATACAACAGACAGTGGCCCAGCTCCCGCCAACCTAGCAGTTCGAAAGCATGCAAATGCAAGTAGATAAATAGGGACCACCTCGGTGGGAAGGTAACAGCGTTCCGTGTCTAAGTCGCACTGGCCATGTGACCACAGAAGATTGTCTTCGGACAAACGCTGGCTCTATGGCTTGGAAACGGGGATGAGCACCGCCCCCTAGAGTCGAACACGACTGGACAAAAATTGTCAAGGGGTACCTTTACCTTTACCTTTACCTTACACAGTGGTAGAGTTGGCCAGCGAAGCAGAACCAAAAAGAATTGACTTACAATAGGCTGATCACAAGCTCCGGGGCAAATTGTTTTCTGGGTGACCCAGCATGAAACCCTTTGTAATCTGTGAACTGTTATTTTGCAGCCTCCACTTGTATCACGGTGGAGAGGGAAACCATGCAAGGAGTCTTCCACAAGCAGAAAATGTTTAGAGAACCTGTGGCCCTCCTGAGGGTGTTGGACTTCCATTCCCATTAGCCTCTGCCAGCATGGCCAGAGATGAGGAACGATGGAAGTAGTCGTTCATCAAGTTTTGATTCGCCATGCGTTCCTCAAACCTTTCTTCATGGAGGTGGATATCTGTCAGGCAGGAAGCTGATTGGAGGTCTCAAGTAGTCTGTGAGAAGGTTTGAGTTCTTACTGGGTCACTTCATTCTGTTGACTTAATGGAGGCTTGTTTTTTTCTTTTTCTTTTGTATCATCGGTTTCAGGGGTTCTATACGGTGTATCGGCATGTTTTTGAAATGATTGTCAAGGAAGAAAAAGAATCCATGCTGGAAGAAGAGAATGAGGAATTTCCAAGTTTTGGAGATTCTCAGAGTGATTATGACACCGTAAGTAAGTTAACTGCACGGCAGTGCCATCTTCAAGAACTGGGGAGGTAGGTTCTCCTGTAAGAACTTTGGTTTAAATAGGTTTTGGAATGTTCAAATGTTGAACATTTCGTTTCCTTTTTTTTAAAAAAAAATCTGATGTATTTATTGCATTTTTGTTTGATCTTTCTGGTGAAGGGACTCAAAGTGGCTCACTGTTTGGTCTCTCTTTCCTCTGATTTTGTGTTTGTGTGTGTTTGTGCATGTGTGTAGATGTTGATATTTCTTTTGATGTTTTCCCACGGATTAGGTAGTGCAGTGCTTCTATGCCTTTTGGCAGAGTTTCTGTACTCGAAAGAATTTTGCCTGGAAAGAAGAGTACGACACACGGCAGGCTTCAAACCGCTGGGAGAAGCGGGCGATGGAGAAAGAGAACAAGAAAACTCGGGACAAAGCCAGAAAGGAGCGGAACGAACTGGTCCGGGAACTGGTGGCCTTTATCCGGAAAAGGGACAAGCGGGTGCAGGCCCACCGGAAGCTTCTGGAAGAACAGAATGCTGAGAAACTGAAGAAAGTGGAGGAACTCCGGAGGCAGCAGAAACTAAAGCAAGCCAAGTATGAAAATCTTAAAGGCTGCAAGACCGAATAGAGCTGGTTTCCATTACTTGAAAGTTAGCGTGATTGTTGAATGATGCTCTCTTTTCTGATAATTAGTCACATGAACCACTGGATGTGAATAGTGATTTGTAAGTTACACAGGCCAGCCCTCCCATTAGGCAGAGCAGGGGGAAAACCACCCCAGTTGATAGGTAGCAGATCATTTCCACCTCAAGACAGGTCCTTCCCTTTTGGGGGAAGGGCTTGCATGCCCCATAGTTGGCCTGGGTCTCCAGGATGGGCATGGATGGGCTATAAACAAGGGTGGCTAAAGTACACTTTGTGGAGCTCCAGTGGAGGGAAGGCCATTTTTACAACCCATGGAGTTTCCCCAATGCCCCCAGTGGTAAGTGTTTTGAAGTTGTTTTTTCCTGCTCATGAAGGCTTCCAGTCACTGCCATTTTTAGTTTAAAGACCTCAGTCCCCTGAATCAAAACTGGTGGTGACTATCCAGGTACTCCTGTTTGATGTGTGAAGTATTTTACAGCTGTTTGGGCCTGGTGAGGCCTATGACGGGTGGGCAAAGATTTGGCACCCAGGCCTGCCAGAGTTCCATGCTTTAAAGTGAAACCACATCTACCTTTCCATGGAACAGTCTCACCACAGAACAGTGGGCAATATATATATTTTTGGAGCTGATCAAGCGGCAGTCAATATGAACCATGTGGCACAGTGGGTAAACCACAGTACTGCAGTTAAGCCTCTGCTCACAACCTGATTTCAACCCTGACAGGTTCAGGCTCAAAGTTGACTCAGCCTTCCATCCTTCTGAGGTTAGTAAAATGAGGGCAAAGAGTTTTTTGCATAATTCTGTTGTAAACTGCCTCGAGAGTGCTTTAGCGCTACGGAGTCTGGAGCAACAACAGCAACCATCCCTTTGCTGTTAAGATTGGGTCTTCGCCAGAGCAAGGCATTGTGGATATGTCCCCATAGCATCCAGACCTGAACGCTTGGCTCTCTGAGAGCCCAGCTTCAGGTCTTTCTGGTTTTGTAGAGAAAAGCAATAAACTTTGAGAACCGGCATTGATTTCCTGAGAGTCCACTTGCCATTTGTCTTGAGCTCAGAGCAAGACCAAGGACAGGTGGCTGTGATGGGCAGCAGTTGTCTGTCTTTCCTCTTGGGTGGCAGGAATGCTTGGGTTGCTCCTGGAATGGCAGGAGGATATATCTTTGTTTTTCTTTATTAAAAATAATCTCAACATGGATTTCTTCGTCTTTTAATCCTGTAGTCCTTTCCCATAAGAATGAGTAAAATAAAACCTATAGTTAAAAAGAATAAAGTAATAGAACAATAGCATCCATTAAAATAATTATTTTAAAACTAGGGTTAATTTTTGCATACCAGTTAGAAAAATAACCAGGAAAATTCCTGGGTAAACAACAGATGGTCCTTCAGCCAGTGGTGAAGCGAGACTCCGTCTCATTTCATCGGGGAGACCTTTCCACATTGTTAGCACTGTAACAGAGAATGCCCACCTCTGCTTTGTAACAAAATAAGCCTCACTAGACTACGTCATAGTAAGCAAGAGCCTCCTGTAGGTAGAGGCTGGAATAGTTTCTGTAGGAAAATACAGTAATGGGACTGGCATAAGAGTGCATGGCAATTTGTTTCCAAAAGCTATGCCTTTTGCATAACTGCCAGCAACGTTTCACCCAGTGCATGTAAATACCTCTGCCCGTTACAGTTAATGTGACACATTGCAAATGCTTTGATAAGAACATGGATAGCCAAGAGGGGGAAACCAAACCCTTCCTGGGTGTGTATCTTCAATAGAGAGCTTCGTAAAAAAGACGCAGATGCTTCCACATTAATCCAAAGTAGCACCCACTCTTTTTCAAAAGTTTTTTATTTTATTTTATTTTATCTTGGCTTCATGAAAAGAGCCATGCCCTCACAGCGGCCGGGACCCATTCTTTCTTGCCTTTTATTTTGACGGAAATATGGATCACATGTTGTCCCCCCCCCCCACCCCCTTTTTATTTTATTTTATTTTATCTTGGCTTCATGAAAAGAGCCATGCCCTCACAGCGGCCGGGACCCATTCTTTCTTGCCTTTTATTTTGACAGGGAAATATGGATCATGTTGTCCTACCCACCCCCATCCCCACAGAAATCTGTATAGCAGGCAGCCTTTTGATAGCAAAGCAGGCAGTGAAAAGCTAAGCTTTCTGCTTGTTCTTCCTTTCAAAGATTGGCTGAGGAGTATAAGGAGCAGACGTGGATGGCCATGTCCAACCTGGAGCGAGAGCTGCAGCAGATGGAGGCGCAATACGAGAAGGAGTTTGGAGATGGGACGGATGAGGAAGAGGAACAAGAGGAGCACGAGTCAAAAGAAAAACAAGAAGGTAAGGGTGAACTTTCAGATAGCCAGGGTGGGTTTGATTTAAATTCTAGATATTAATTAATTTTTCTTTATCATATTTCTGTGCCACCTTTATCCCTGAATGGGAATCAAGGGGGCATACAAAATTGTTAAAAGAAATGGAAAGTTAACATACAGTGGATTTACACATCTTAAATAAGATTAGATTCACTGTAATATTAAAATTTAAAGTGTTAAAAGAAATGGAAAGTTAACATACAGCGGATTTACGCATCTTAAATAAGATTAGATTCACTATAATATTAAAATTTAAAGAGTGCTTAAAACAATCTCTGGACAGTTTGCAGTTTAATTATGCAGATTACACACAGAGAGACATTCAGTTTACCAACCTTGCGAGGATGGAAGGTTGAGTCAACCTCATTCCAGCTACCTGATCATATAGGGATTGAACTCAGGACATGAGCAGAATTTTGACTGCAGTACTGCAGTGTAAGCCCTTTGCTGTGAGTTATAGTTACAGCACTTTGAAATGTCTGATTAAAAATACTAATAGTGGTTTGCCTTAAAAAAAACACATCAGTGAACATAAGCAGCAATGCTCATGGCCTGAACACTATAAATAGAAGGAAATGATTTAGTTTTAAAAAGTTTATTAGGCTTCTTAAATAAGGAACTAGCAACTATTTTGTAATAGTACAAATATAGAATTTCAAATCCTCAACCACCATGAGGTATGTTGGCTAGATAAGTCAGAGCCTCCACAGTTGTGACACACAGACTCTGAAACTTTTCAGTGTTTGTGATGCTGAACTTTTTCGTATAATTTTTGATGTATTTTTCATTAGCGATTTATCTTGTTTTCCACTTTGAGGCCTGAAAAGGTACCTGTAAATTTTAATACACAGAAGTATACAGAGGAGGTGTCCCAAGATAGGCAGCTGGGGAAGAGAATTCCAGAAGTGAGACACCACCACAGAGGAGGCCCTGCGCCTGGTAGACACCCGGTCTCCCTTTAGAAAACGGGCACATTTAGGTTGAACGATTCCTTGAGGATATTAATAACCAAGTGGTTGGTTCATCTGGTATACTTGCTCCAGAACATTTATAGCTTTATAAGTCGAGTTGTACATTTTGAATTATGATCGAAAATCCAATTAAATAATTTGTGAGAGGTTTCCATTTTGTCCATAGCACACTCTGACCCTCTCAAATTTCCAGCTCCTAAAGCAGCCCCATCTAAAAGGGCATTGCAGTCATGGTGGTGAATTTAAGTGGGATTTACTTCTGAGTAACAGTGTGCAGGATTGTCGTAGTCCTGCCTCCTCAGAAGAAAGTTCCGTTAAGCTTGATAGGACTTATTCTCTGGTGAATGTGTATAAAATGTCAGCCGCAAGATAAGAGTTCTAAGCACATTTATTTTTGAATAAGCCTTAATCAAAGCTTGGTACCATGATTTCCTTGGGCTAAGAATTCTAGAATTCCCCAGTCAGCCTATGGCCGTACCAGCTAGACATTCTGGGAGGTGTAGTCTTAACATCACCACGTTACGGCCTTAGCAGTGTTACACAGGAGGAATTCAGTAAATGAGCATAGGAGTAATGTGAAACCTTGCCATTTTAAACATCTTTTTCAGATAAATTAAGTGAAGAGGGCGACACTTCTGAGCTCTATGATGACCTGTACTGTCCTGCTTGTGATAAATCCTTTAAGACCGAAAAAGCGTGAGTGGTTCTCCCCCCCCCCCCGGTCTTTAAAAGAAAACTGGCTTTTGAGTGGCTGCTTGCTTTCATTGTCTTCTTGCGCACCCTTGCTTGGAAATAAGTTCCATTGAACAGCTTATTTCCCAGTGGAGGAGCTGCGGAGTTGCCACTGACAGTTCAGGTCAAATGAAACCATTAGGCTGCTCTGTTGTGTTCAGATGCTCCTGGTAACGTTTGTGTGGCCACTCTCTGCAGGATGAAGAACCACGAAAAATCCAAGAAGCATCGGGAGATGGTGGCGTTGTTACGGCAACAGCTGGAGGAGGAAGAGGAAGAACTTTCCCTCAGGGCCGTGGAGGAGAATGGATTGAATAATAACGAGGAAGAGGAGGTGATAGAAGTGCCCAAACCAAAGTACGTATGAGAAAGTTCACTTTGCACAGAAGACTATGAATTGTGATCAGTCCAATAGAACCAGCAAAAAGATTGATTGATCGATCAATTGATCGATGCAGCATGAAGTGTTTCACTCAAGGGTGCCAGCCAACTAGATAGCTCCTCTTTCTCCATCCCGATAGTCATTCAGCATCCTCTGGCCACTGAGCACGCACACACTTGTTTTGATTGTACTTGAACATTATGTATGTGTTTTTTGAAAAGGAGGTACAGTGGTGCCTCGCATAGTGAGGTTAATCCGTTCCGGATTAACCTTCGCTATGGCGAAACATCGCTGAATGGGACAGAAAAGCCCATAGGAACACATTAAACATCATTTAATGCGTTCCAAATGGGCCGAAAACTCACCGTTCAGCGATGCTTCCCGGGTCCGGCAGCCATTTTCGCACCCTCATTAAGTGAGGGCAGGATGCGAAAACACTGTGCGCGGCCATTTCGGGGCTTCCGGCGGCCATTTTGGAGCCGCCGAACAGCTGATCGTCGGGCTTCGTTTTGCGAAGATCGGTAAGTGAAACGCTTACCGATCTTCGCAAAGCTAGTTTTGCCCATAGGGGCCATCGGTATGCGATCGCATTTGCGATCGCTGAGACCCCATCGCTATGCAATTTCGTCGTTATATGGTGCGCTCGTTAAGTGAGGCACCACTGTACATTTCTTAATTTCAGCAAATCTTCAGGTTTCTCTGAGCTTGTTGATACTTCCCTGTTTTGTCTACACAGGGATCCACGCTAAGCGGGTTATTTGCTGGTAGGACAGCCAGCTGTGAGTACTATTTCCAAGACACCAGAGGATGAATAAGGTTTCAAGTTTCAATACTGGACATTTAGATTTCAAAACAGGTGGCTTCACCCCTGTTTATCAGGTGTTTGGGGTAAAGCCGGCATGCTGGAAGGAAATTTGAGATAAATATATTCTGCAACCTTTTTGAAATCCTTTTCTAGAGATTGGCTCAAACCCTGTTGCTCAGCATAGTAAGTTGCAACTAGAGTAGGTGCATTGAATCAATGGGGATTCAGTGAGTCATCTCTGTAAGTTCCACTGATTCAGTGGGCCTGCTCTAGTTGTGATTTATTGTGCTAAGCAACAGGATTTCAACCACGGTGTAGGCCTTTTTTCAAGCACAAAAGCTGGATAAAGTACATCGGCGCTCTCTAACCCTCTGGGCCCCACAATTCGTGTCTCTGTCAGAATTGCAACAAATGGGCAGCCCCCATCTTTTCCCCTTACTTGCTTTAAAAACAACAAATGAATACACTAGAGTATTTGGGATGTTTCTTTTAAGGAGAAAGAATTGACTCGTTTGCTGAAGCCCTCCATAACTGGGACCCTCTGGCCCTGTGTGATTATTTTCACTGCTGTATATCTCCACTTGCTTGGTTTGACCCTCAGGAGACATAAAAGTAGAACACAGCCCATTCATGGCTCCTACTCAAGGGTTAATCCACTCTGAATTAACCGCTGGTGTAGCATTAGATAGATAGAGAGAGAGAGAGAGAGAATGAACAATGTTCAACCTCCTTTTTTGTCATTACAGGCTCTCCAAGAAACAGAGAAAGAAACAAAGAACAGTGATGGTATGTTCTTTGGAAAATTCCTCACTGCCTATGATTGGGGAGGAGCCTGTCCTTGCATTTGAGTTGGGGAACAGCGCTTCTCTTGGGACTTAACGTTGGGTCTTGCGATCTCTCAGCTCTGCATAATGTCAGCATTTAAGACCAGGAGATAGTGATGAGTAGAACGGCCTTCCATGACAGGCGAAACCCCAGATGTTAGCTGAAGAAATTAGTGCGATCTCACTGGCCAGAATAAAATGGACATTTTGCTGGGTTTCAACATTGCTGTCACTGTGGGCCAGGTTAGGGCGTCCTAGGCACCGTGCCCCTTGTCAGCACCCATTGTGTCTGGGGAAATGCTGGAACCCTAAAAGATGTTTGTTTGACCTTTGATCTCTCCCCCCCACCCCTCCATCCTTTAGCTTATTACTAGAGCAGTGGACACATAGTGGAGTGTTTGGCTGAGGTTGCAGCCCTCTGTTCTTATAGTGTCTCCCAGGATGTATCTGAGTGCCCTGTTACATGATGGCCCAGTAGCATTGTGAGATGGTGAGGGAAGACAGTTGTAGCTTCAGCAGGAACATCTCTTAGCAGCACTCACGTTGATTGAAGCATGATAAGTCCGCCCTTCTCCACCCCTGTCTTGAAAGCTTTCTGGCTCATCAGGAAGCAGGCCAGGGCGCCTCAAAGGGAGAGGGCAGAGAGCATCCTCTGAGGCTGGGCATTGGATGCCCCACCGTTCTTCCTAGACATGGTCCGTAGGCTCCCTTACAGCTCTTCAGATCTAAGATTATTGTTCTAAGATAAGATCTGGGACAGATCCCATTTCCACCATTAATATAACTGCACTTCTCTAAGTATCCAGTATGCAGAAGTAAGGACAAGGAGGGACTGCCCCTTTTTGACTAGGAAAAAAAAAGGGTCCAGTGCAAAGGCACTTTTGAGAGGCTTGTACCACCTGCCCTCTCTGCACGCCTGTGCCTACCTTGACTCCCGCTCTCTTTTAGGCCTTTTAGCTGCAGGCTGTCTTTCCTGCCCGAGTGCAGAGAGTGGAAGGCCAAGGACGGACAGCCTGGGGCAGGCCCGGAAGCAAGAGAGGCTGCTGGGGTGGGTCCAGCTTTGGCACTAAGCCATCCCAGGGGCTTACGGGCAAAGCATCCTGGGAAGCGGACGTGGCGTGTGCGGAGAAGCCTATTAAAATTCTGTTACCTTCCCGCAATCGTCTTGACACCAAGGACGGTGTTCCTTGTTCCTGTCAGAAGCAGCACCACAGCAGGCTTGATAAATATGTCGGGTCATTTTCACTCAATGACGGGTAACCTCAAGAGCGTTTAGGGCAGCTCGCGTGGGGTCTTCTGTGGCATAGAAATGGGGGTCTAGAGTACACTACTGCCTGTTCTTTCTCCACACTTATGAAGGACGGTGTCAGTCCAAAAGCCCTGTTTTCTTAAGCGTGCTTTGATTCTGCCAATTCCAGTCTGTACCCTATTAAGAGACTTCCACATAATCCGGCTTTCCTGGGATCCCATCCGTTTTAAGAGGTGGGTAGTTCTTTCTTGACCCCTCATAGTTCTGGCTTTGTCAGTTAGGGCTTCAATGCCCCTTTTTATAGTGCAACTGTGCCTCTTGACGCTAGCATCTAGGAAGTTCTGCCTAGGATCCAGGGCAGAGTTGGGCTGAAATGTTTTGCTGACAGACAGACAGACATGGCCGGAAACTGGAGGATCAGGCTTGGAACAACATAATTAGGTTCAGTGGAGCTTTGTTGGGAAGGAAGGCTTAAGCCTTATAAATGGTAATCTGTGCTGATAGTTCACAGTGGTTTCAGTAAATGCATTCTTTTCTTCAAATAGGTCCAGGAAGACACTTTCAGTGACAGAAGCACAGAAGAGCCGTGGGATGAAGCAGGGCCAGCTGGCAGCGAGAAAGAGGGTGGTGTCCATGAAGAATCAGAAAGTGTCAGTAAAACCCACAGCCCAGAAGAAGCAGGTCCTGGAGAAGATGAAAAGCCTCAAGTGGAACCCAAAACCGAGGGCAGAAGGTAAAGTGTTAATCAGTGGAATTGCCAAAGTGAGCATTAGTCGGAACTATTTATGTTCTTCATATCGGAGAATCATTTCTGAATTCAGAGTTTTATACCCAATGCTTCCAAATTGTTTTAATTTCTACATCAAAAACCTATAGATTCTTATTTTGTGCCCGTTCTGTTGATTTATCCCTCAATTTATATGGGGGCTTCTCTTCCTGATCCTGCTTTTCTCTTTTCCTTACCGTTTTCTTTTCTCCATCCTTTCTTCCTGCCTTTTTTTTTTTTTTTGGCGTTTTCACTGCTGGTCCCCTCTTCTCCATCTAGGCTGTGGGAAGGAAATCTCTACTACTTCTCTGATCAATGATTGGAGATAGTGGGGTTCTTCCAGAGTATTGCCAGCAATGGAGATTTAAAGGAGGAGTTAAGAGTTACTCAGAGACTCCATGGGCTGGATGGAGAACCTCTGTAGGCCAAACTAAGCCTTGAGAGTCAGAGATTTCCCTTGCCTGCTCTAAACACTGTTCTCCATCAGCGAACAAGTAAGACTCTCCAAGCAGAGGGTGGGAGACCGGGTCTCCCCACATGCCTGCTGAGGGGCCAGCCAAGCAGAGTTCCTGGTGCCATTAGCGGGAAGAGTGGGACTTCACAGCACCGAGATATGTGAGTGGATGAGCCAGTCCCGGGACCGGACCCTCGTTAGGTCCAGCTGAGACGGGGATATTTGTATTCATTTGTGAATAGGAATATCTCCATCTCTACCCTCTACTTCTTTCGAATTTTTGCCTGCTTCTCTTCCCTGCATATTTATTGTTTGTACTTACCTAGCACCGGCAGTGCTGTGATTCTTGCTAAAAGTCTGACACGTGTACACTTGTGCTTTCTTTGAGCCAGTGGTTTGGAAGAAGCATTCCTCCAAAGTAAATTTCCAGCTTCTGACATAGGCTCACAAATGCCATTGCAAAGGGATGAGGCCCTGCCGTTAGGGGGTGGGGGGTGGGCATCGGCAAGTGCTGGGAGCTAATGCTGCTTCTCTCCATATCTGAACGAAATTGCTTTGTGTTCTGTCAATGTATTAATATGGCTATTTTACAGCTTTTGGGGTTCCTGAAAAATGACTGGGTAACCAGGTCAGCCTCCAGCGTGCTGTTGGTTTCCTCCACCTTTCTGCCCCCGAAAACAGTCTGATTCAAAGGGGTCCTTCTGCTTTTGGCTGAAGAGAGTTCAGCAACTGTTCCGTGCTGGGCGGCCAGCTGACTGAGGTGCTTTCTCTTTCTTTCTAGCACTCATAAAGCTAAAGGGAAGAAAACGAAAGATGCAAAGAAAACACCTGCAAGAAGTTCTTCAGAACATCAGTCTGTGGTATGTGGGAAGGATGCAGGCCGAGTAGCCTTCATGCATTTAGCACCCCACCCCACCCGTTCCACTCACAGTATTTGCTCTGGACTTCCCAGTATAGGCCTCAGATGCTTCTTTTCTCTCAGAGAGACAATCCAGAGCAGCTCAAAAGGTTAGAACAAGTAAGATTTTAAAAAACCTAAAAATTAAAGATTAAAAAGCAGTTATCACAAGGATGAAAAAGCCATTAATTAATTAAAATATGTAAAACTGTAAAAACAAACTTAGAAAGCAAGAAAAAAAAGCCACATGCAGGGATTCAGTCCCTGATTTGAACCTTGTGAGGTGAAAAGTGAAGATAAATGAACAAACTTTTGGTTATGTGAGTCTAGTAGGGTAAAGTCTGTTTCCCTATGTCATTTGATCCTCCTCCTCAGAACATCCTGCAATCCACTGCAGCAAACAGATGTTTTCCTGCAGGCAGGCAGATGCGAGGAAACGAGCTGATTCTAGCTATAAGCCCCAAACATAATTAAGGTTTCTTGGTGCTTCAATTCTCTCTTTAAAAATAACATAGGAAGTTGATCTACACTGGACAAGTTTTTTTTTTGTCTCATTCAGCTAGCCTTTTCCATCTTCAGTGGCAATCAATGACTCCAGACTCTTCAGCTAAGGCGACATTTCCCATTACAGTATGTGCTACTTGGAGATGCCCCTTCCGGGAGCATTTCTACAATCCAGCTGCCCTATAACTAGGTAGAGCCTCAATGCTCAGAGGCAGTCTGTTACTGAGGGCCAGAAGATGGTGGCTAAATGGGTGGCAGGCCATCCTTTCTGGGCTTCCAGTTCTATCTGCCTGACCACACTTTGAAACCAGAGCATTTGAAGGATATATTTTGGACTCCTGTGCTGGCTGGGGGAATCTGGTGTGTTCAGTTCACATAAAGTAATTTTTGGAAACTGTTTGAAGGAGACAAGGAATTTTCAAAAAGTCTAGTCAAAGGAAATTCTTGAGTTCTGAGGTAAATTTTTATTAGATATATAAATATCGGTATAGATGAGGGAAAATTCTGCAGTTGCTAACAAAATACTTTTGTTTCCCCCCCCTCCTCCTTTATTCTTCTGACCTTTTTACTTCCAGCATGAAGCTTCACTCCAGTGTGTTACCTGTAATTGTGAATTTCAGTCACGGAACAAACTCTTTGAACACTTAAAAGTGACAGGCCACGCCAAAGCAGTGCAGGCACCAGCTGTTAACAGAGCTGCGAACAGCAGCAGAAGCAAAAAGGAAAAACGGAGAAACAGATAGAACTTTAGAAACAAGGAAGAGAGTGGCCGGTGTAGCCTACGGTTCCAAAAGACAACGTCCAAATCATTCCAGGACTTGTGTCATCAATTAAACTGAGGTGGAGACTCCCTGGGTCCAGCAACAATTGGGCATTATGGCAAAGTATTTAAAGTTCCTATGGCGCCTGGTCTTCATTTGTGTTGCTATTATTTTTTCAGTGGATCCTTATGACTGCATAATACCTAGTCATTTCACTGATGCTAAATTTTTACAGTTTTCCTTCCTCTTCTCCTCTTCCTGCCCCAATAAAGCACAAATTACTCCTACAAAGAATCTTCTTGTTAAGACTTGTAAAAACTTAACTTGTACAGGTTGAAGAAATAAATTATTTTACTGTAAGTGGTAGTTTTTATTCTTGGAGCTTGCAGTCTTGTCACCTAAGGAAACTCTTGAAATGAACCCAAAGTATCTTTTTTGCAGCTACCCACCTGTCTTTATCCAACTCAGTGCTGAACTCTTGGTAAGGAATCTTTGAAGGCAATCTTGCGTCTCCAAATGTTCTTGGACTACAACTTCCAGAAATCCTAGCCAGCACATAGTGGAAATGTGAAGGCTTTCAGGAGTTTTAGTCCAAGAACATCTGGGGACACAAGGTTGAGAGAGCCAGTGTTTTAAGGAGATGGCTGAGCTCTTAGCACCAATAGTTGATGGGGGGTCTGCAACAAAATGATAAGGTGGGAATGCTGTACCCTGTTTTTCTTCACCCACCCCAAACAATCAGTGAACATTTTAGTAAAATAGAATAAAAACCACTGGTTATGGGATTAATCGGTTTTCAGTGCATTGTAGGTCAATGGAGATTCGACTTACAGACTTTTCGACTTGCAGCCACCATTCCAATACGGATTAATTCCTTAAGTAGAGGGTCCACTGTACCCTGTTTTTCTTCACCCACCGCAAACAATCAGTGAACATTTTAGGGCCTCCTATAGGGTCGTTTTAAATGTTCTCCACCCCCAAAGGACTCCTGTATCTCCAAGGGTCGGTTCTGAACCGTCAGTGGATTCTGAAAAACGTGGATTATAGCAAAGACTATTTCAATAGTGAGCACTAAACATAGCATGGTCTCAAGCTCCCTCTAGTGGCCATTTCTGGTAACCTCACCTTTAGAAATATGTAGTTCAAGGGTTTTTCTTTTAATATTTTAGACTCTGGATAAGTGAATGAGCAGATACCAATCCTGGAGGTAAGGGGGTCCTACTATATCTGAAAATCTTGAGTTTCTCCCAGACACGCTGATATCTCATTCTTGTATATTCACTATCTTTTGAGTACCGAATCACACATCCTTAAACATTAGAAATAGAGGACACAATCCTTCAGATATAAATGCATTTTTATTGTTACTGCCACTTTCCCCGTGGCACATGTGTGAAGTAGCCAAGGATGTGTGTTCATAATTTTTCTGAAGTCAAAATCTATCTGCCCTACAACTAAATCATCTGCTATTTTTTTTAAAAAAATTGCCAATATATACTTTGTACAGCTGTTGTAATGAGTTAAGAAACTACACAAGGCAGCACAGGACAGGCCCACATCCAGACAGAAACATGTACACAGAACCCTATGAAGACAGATCACAGTGTAGGCTTTCTTTTTGATCTAGCATTGTGTTCACATAGCCGTTAACCAGATTCTTATGGGAAACCTGCTGGCAGAAGGTGAGTTGTAGCTACATCTTCCTTTTCCCCCTGAGTATATCATTTGCTGGATGGCAAGCTAAAATGGAAATAGGCCAGATGGAATTCCCCCTCCTCTTCCCTGCTTCTTTAGAGAGAGACTTCTGTCATATTAATTGCAGTAGTTGCAGTTCTACTGGTGTTTCTCACAGCAGACCTGTAACACCCTGCTAATTAGCCAGATGTAGTTTTATTACATCCTCTTGTGTGAGATGAGCTAATATATCATGTATCGCTTCTCGGCCTTTTGGCTAAGATCAAGTGTAGTATCTGTTCTTATCAGTTCTTATCATGTATAGTTCAAGCACCAGACACAGGGGATGCTAATTTGCAGCTGTTCTCCTTTCCATATGCCTTGTTAAAGCTGTGTGAAAGACTGCCACTGCAAAGTCTACGTCTTCCTTAGTGATGCACATCGGAGGTTTAATTCTAAATGTCTAAGGAGAGAGAAAGAGAGAGAGAGAGTAAAATCAGAAGGGAGAGCAGTTATCGTACTACCCAGTCCTGCAGGTTCGTGCGATTCCATGCCCACAAACTATGCTAAGTCTATGAACCATGAATAACAGCGTCCATGACTTTAAAAAAAAACCTAGCCATATTGTGCAGTGGTTAAACTGCTGTACTGAAGCCAAAACTGCTCATGATCCAAGGTTCAATCCCAGGTAGCCTGCGCAAGGTTCGCTCAGCCTTCCATCCTTCCAAGATTGATAAAATGAATATCCAGCTTGCTGAGGGTGGGGGAACCTTATGAGGCTAGATCAAGCAGGGACCACTTGTCATCCATCAGATGTTGGGAAGCAGCTGGGGTGGTATAAGACCTAAACACGGCATGTGTGAGTCCATCTCCTTATCACTCTTCTTTTTTGCAAGCTGTGCTGACTGGGGTTGATGGAAGTTGCAACGGCTGGAGGGGAGTGGCCAAACAGTCTTGATCTGGGAGAAGCCGCTTCTCCTATTCCTAAGGGTGGCCAGTAGCTTTAGATTTACAGGGCCCTAGCTTTAGTAACAGAGTGCAGGTACTATGCATGGAAGGTCATGGGTTAAAAAGCCTGACATTTCCAGTCAAAAGAACATTATACAGCAGGAGCTGGGAAACACCTCTGCCTGAGACTGCTGAGAAATACAGGCTAGACGGATAAACACCTTAAGCAAGCTTGCTCATCTGATGGTCCCAAGAGAAATCTACAAGTCTACAATTCATAGGCATGCTGTTCTCAAACAAATTGGAGGATAGCATACCCAAATTTGCCATGCAAGCATTTGCTCCCTCTCCTCACGGTTTCTGTTTTATTACTTTACAGTTCAAATGCAAATTTTAGGTTACTCAGTTTGATGTTAAGGCCTTTGCATTTCCTTGCTCTGAGTGAGATACAGTTTTGAGTTGTCTGCCTTTATTCAACTTGGCTGAATATCTGTATCTGCATCAATTTAACCTTAATGCCTCTTTAACAAAAGCTTACTGTACCTGGAAATACAATCCTCCACGCCCAACTATCACTCCCATATCTTTGCAGTCTTCCATGATCTCAGCCACTTCTTCATGAGGGAGTGGCTTCCGAGTTTCCTAAGAAAATATATTCAGCTTTATTTTCATGTCCTTCTTTCAAATCAATCCATTTTAACACAGGAAAGGAGATAATAAAAAACCAAGAAAAATTAAAACACCAGGTCTCCAGTTCTTCCCATGTTAAATGGGCAGCTTGCGTAGAGAACCTGCATTATTGTATGTTCATAAGCCCAATCAAGGCTTGCCCAAAAGATGTTGCTGCCTGAGTTGGAGCAGCAAAATTGTGTGCCCTCTACCCCATAAGACAAGGTGCAGGGTATCCAAAGCTTGCTAATGTATTTTGGCATGTGAGGAAGAAAATCCTGCATATATCCCTCTCTCTCCTTAGCAATAAATTAGCAAATTAAATAACTACCACTTTGTCAAACTTTCATGCAAGTTCTGCTCATCCACCTCACCCATCCCTGATTTTAGGAGGAATTACCCTTTTCCTCCCCTCCCGACTCAGTCACAAGTTGCCCTCGTTTTCATGACACCCTATGCCTGGGGTAGCCACTTCACTTTGCCTGACAGTAGAGCCAGCTTTGCTGCAGGTTGGTTTTTGCAGGCCCCCACAGCAGGCCTGTAATGTCTGAAATAACACCTCATTTGCAGCCAAACCAAATGAATCAGAAGAGTGAAGTTGGAAGGGGCCTAACAAGGTCATCAGGTCCAACCTCTTGGCTGAGACTGTTTGGGCTGTGATGCATTTCTAAATGGCCCACAAAGTATATTCCTGACCTTATCTGTGACCATCTCGATCCCGATCAGAAGCCCTTTGCCACGGACATCTCCAACAATTTCAAACTGATCTCGCAGCTTAGCAAACTCTAGCAGCATGTAAGTCCCCACTTCGTCACTGTTCTTCTGCAATCCATCTTCTGCTATTGCCTGAGCACATTAAAAACCATGCAGGAAGGCATCATATAGCTGTAAACAAGAATACACTCCAGTATGTGGATTTAAATTTTAACACCACTGATATAATTGTCGTCATCATATTAGAACTGCAGAGCTGTAAAGGACCCTATAGATCGTCCAGCCCTTGTCAAGAGGGCACAGAAGGGAATTGAACTCCCAACCTCTGCTCTGCAGACAGATACCCAAACCACTCGGCTATCCATCCAATGCTTATTTTAGTCCTAATAATGTAAACAGTTGCAACAGACAACATAAAGAAAACAATGGTCCAAATCTTTCACAAAAAAAGGACAACATAAAATATATCTAGGAAAACTATTCCTTTTTCTTTCTTACAAATATGGAAGGATTTTTTTTAAAAGAAACACGGTGAAATCTCTTTCTAGTAACAGGCGGATGATTTATTTATTTTAGAACCAATCTAGTTACTTCATTCAATTCCTGTTTGTAGGTTCCCTGCTAAAACACCTGAGCAGCTACTCTTTGGAAAAATGTTGGGCCCAATCAGGAAAATCTACTTTTTTTGGACTACAAATCCCCGGAGTCACCAAACCAACAGGGTCAGCTTGGTCTCAAAAAGTAAAATTTACCTTTTAACAAAACACACACATACAGAGAAGTGCATCCTTGTCAATCTGTAAGAGCGTCTCTGTTTATTTCCATGTAGACGTGAATTCTGAGTAACCTGAAGAACACAAGAAAAGGCAGAGCTTGGAAAAACTGACTTGTTTATAGTCCCTCAAAAGTATTTTCCCCCCATGCTCTGGCTTTTCTTCTTGGTGGCATCAAATTCTTATTATTAATAACAAGAAAAGCCAGAGCATGGGGGAAAAATACTTTTGAGGGACTACAAACAAGTCAATTCTGATTTATGGTGAGCCTTTCCAAGGTTTTCTAGGTAGAGAATACTCAGAAATGGCTTACTGTTCTCTTCTTTTGGAGGTGACCTGAGACTGTGCAGCTTGCCCAAGGCCACCCAGGCTGGCTTTTTCCCTGGGGGACATTGGGGGAATCAAACTGCCAGCCTCTGGCTCTGCAGCCTGGTGCCTAAACTACTGAATCATACAAATACAAATAGTATTCAGTACTCCGTGGGAATGAACAGAGAGGTTCTTGTGGATTGACAGGGAGACTGTGTTTATCTGTGTACGTGTGCATGAAGACATCTCTAACACAGCAGATCACTAGACAGGACTGGACTAAGCATTTTAGCAGTGACACGGTAGTCTTCTACAGTGCAAGCTGTCTTAATCAAAGGCGCATCTTCTTTTAAACAGCAATATAAAGGAACAGGCTGTAATCATTTTCTTACATCAAGAACAGCAGATCCAACTACACAGGCCACAGGGTTTCCTCCAAATGTGTTGAAGTGCAGGTTTTGCGTTAAGGCATTTGCAATCTCTAGGGGAGGAAAAAAATGCTCCTGTGGTATTCTAAAAATATGGGACAAAATGTAATTGCTGGTATATTGTCAACCGTGTAACATTTGGTGGTGAATTACTGCAGATTAGGAACTCAATGTAGATAGTTGTTGCATGCTGATTGGTGCTACTCTGTATGCAACAGACAATGTCTCATGATTTTGTAAAGTGTAGCAATATACCACCAATGTTTACATTGATACTTGAGCAATAGGTCATTAAATCATTAAATGCAGATACTGCTGCTTCTGTATAAAATGCCAGGTCAGCCTTCCACAAATGGATGCCCTCCATAGGTAAAGAACTACAGCTTCCATCTATCTGGAACCCTAGGGGCCATTGTATGAGAGCAGCAGTCCAAAATATCTGGAAGGTGACAGGTTGTCTACCTCAGGTATAGTGACTCAAAGGACTAGAACACCATGGCTGAAATCCTGTTGCACATTTATAATACTTGAGCAATACCTCGCTTACCGATGTTAATCCGTGCAGCAAAAATTGCTGCTAAGCGATTTCATCGCTAAGCGATATTAAAAAGCCCATAGAAACACATTAAAATGCCATTAATGCGTTCCTATGGGCTTAAAAACTAACCTTAAGCGAAAATCCTCCATAGGGGCGGCCATTTTGGTGCCTCTAAAGTGAGGCAACACAGCGGGCGGCTATTTTGTTTACCCGGCGGCCATTTTGGAACCGCTGATCAACTGGCCGAAAATGGGGGCTTTGCGATGTTCGCTTCCCTGCGATCATAGCAAAGCGAATTTTACCCATAGGGACGATCGCAAAAGCAATCGCAAAAACATCGTCGCAAAGGGATTTCTTCATTAAACGGAGCGATCGCTATGCGAGGCACCACTGTATAACTTTTGGAAGCAATTTGCCATAATTTAAGAAATCTCTGTAGGTATTACCTGTTGTATGTTGAATTGCTTGATGGAGATTTCTTAATTTACAGCCATTTGTATCTAAAAGTTAACACTATTTCTATAACTGTGCAAAAGGATTTCAGCCTACATGTACTATCTCTGAGATGGGCTGCTCTGATATGTTCCATAGGGCTTCAGTTCTCATAGATCTACAGTCAAAAGATCTTGGCCAAACTCAATGTCCAAGCATCTTCCAGGATATCAAGACTGGAAGATATATAATTCAGCAAAGTAAAGAGATAAAATTCAGCAAAATCGATGGTATTAGTCAAGACTGAAAACAAGTATGAAAGCCACTTATACTGTGAAGTCTAACTCAGTAGGACAAAGAGGACATGGCTCCACCTCACGTTTAGACTGCCCCCCCCAGCCAGTCCACTCCTGCCTGCCTCCTTACCAGAGATGGAGGGTGAGGGCCCCTGGCTGTGTTCTTCTCTTGCTAAACTCTTGCCTCACACCCTCTGTGAGTGTATGTGTGTGAGAGAGAGACAGAGAGAGAGAGATTGAGAGAAGATAACAGAGAATGACAGTATGGGGAGGGAGAAGAAGCAAGTAGCAAGTTTGGGGGCCGAGTTGTGATCTGAACTTAGGGAGAGGCAGTATGGTACTGTCAGCCTCTCTGTATCTCTGCTTGCTTACCTATGTCCATATGTCAACATATGTGAGAAACTATGCCCACTTTGGTCACTTGTCCCTGCCTGTCACTCCTGGCTGTACCCACTCCAGTTGCTTCACCTTCCAGCTCACTGGAGCCATAACCAGCCACTTTGGAATTTGGGGCTTTGCTGCCTTATTGGTTAAGGTTTGGTTACCTGAGACTGGCAGACATGGGGAGGGAATGGGAAAGAACACTGGAGTCTGAGTGGGTGACGGACACATTGGTTCTCTGTTACCGCTGTTTATTTTGTGTGGTTCTCTGCCCAGGGAGGAGCACATAGCCTCAATATATGTGCTCAGATGGGTTCACACTCTTCCAATGGCAAATCCCAACCGGCAGATTCACTCCTTTCCAGCAAAATATGTTTCTGCCTGGGATCAAAGCCCCCGTAACCTCCACCTCAGTTGCAGCTCAGCACTGACCCATCATCAGCCAACCCCCACTGCATCCATACCTGGTCTAGTGACAACTGCTGCCATTGGGAAGCCGTTACCGATGGCTTTTGCCATGGTCACAATGTCAGGAATCACATCATGTCCTTGGAATCCCCAGAAATGGCTGCCTGTTCGACCAAACCCTGTCTGAACCTTCAAAGAACAATGCGGGGGGAGCAATGGGGGGGGAAAAGAGAGACAAAGAGATACTTTAAATCTTTGGAGCTAACATTTGACAGATTTCTTCTGCAGATATAATTTAAATGCACCCAGTGTTCACACTGTCAAATGTGTTGAACAAACCCAGGTACTTCCTTGTACATATTTCTAGGATTATTTTAATCAGCTGTGGCATTTTGCTGTGTGTGCATGTGCGTTAGCAGGACTTGTGCTCAAATACTCACTTCATCTGAAATACACACTCCTCCTTTCTCACGCACCAGCTGATAGGCTTCTTTAAGGAATCCCTTGGGATACTGAACTGCTCCACTGACACCCTGCAACAACAAACGCACAAAAATGGGGTTTTTCTCCAACAGCAAAAGCTATAAAACACCATAGAAGATGCTGCAACCAGGGTTGTGGTTGGACCCTTTAACCCCATGGTTGCTGCAGAAAATACTAACCTGAATTGGCTCAGCAATAAATCCAGCTATTTCTTTTGGAATACACGTTATGAATGTGTCTTTGAGCTGCTCAATGTACTGGTCCTTTGCATGACAAGAACCTGTGTTGGGGAAGTGTAGATGGGGAAGACAGATATGCAATGGATCAAGGATGAATATATATATCTGCCGTATATCTCAGTGACGTCTGAAGCCTCTGCGTAGGTCTGAATATGTACATCCAACCCAGAACGTGGAAGCAACTTTCTGAAATCACAGCTTGAGCTAGACAGGCAAGGATCTACTGTACTGCTATCCAGATTTTCCAGCTGTTACACTAAGCCTCAGCCCAATGAGTCCAGCAGCCTTTTCCAACATGATGCCTTCCACGGCCACTGGCTCTGTTGTTTGTGAATGATGGGAACCGTAGTACATCCCAACTAGATGGGAAGGGAGTCCACACTCTTGTGCTATGGCACTTCTTGGGTAGGTGGGATGCTTAGAATGCAGCACTAGCTTACAAAGACTGTCCATCATCTTTCCCTTTAAACTTTTAAGTATATGTCCAACTTCCACAAGCACAAATATTAATTTCTCAAAGTATTTCACATAAGATAAAATCAGCAGTCCCTACACACAACCCTGGCAATGTACGTAGGCCAATATTACTATCTTCATAGTGTGTGTGCTGTGCTGGCAAAGTTAGCACGTTGTATTGGGCAGTGGCTAGGATGATGGGATTTGTCAAAGATTGTTATCCACAGTGAATAATGGCAGACTGTTTCAGTCAAACTTATCTCACAAGGTTGTTGTGAAGAGAAATGGGAAAATGTGTGATGCCTTGAGAGGGAGCAGCATAAAATGTAATACATTACAAAATATTATTTATATTTGGATGTATATGCCACTTTTACTCCTACAAACTCTATTAAGGGTACATGATGCTTCTCCCATTTTATCCCCATGACAAAGCTGAAGACTGGGCTCAGAGACTGTGACTGGACCTTGAAAAACTCATTAGGGTCACCTTAAGTCAGTTCTCACTTTACAGTACACAGCAACAACATAAGTACTTCCATAGGACAAAACATAACTACAATTTGATACCGTTCCTTACTGAAAGATCAGCATTTTTCCTACTGAACAAACCTGGAGAACAGGTGCATTTTCGAATTGTTTGCACTGGAGAATCTCGGCAATGGCTTCCTCCCCAGGGTCCACGAAAAACATCAGGAGACATTGTCTGAAAAGTACAGCGGAGATAAAAGGGTTGGCCTTAGAAGCTGCTTCACTGTGACACATGTATAAGTGAATATGAAAGACTTTTAGATTATATTCACCATGGACTGACATAGCTATGGAGGGCAGGCGGGGGGAATGTGAACTCCAATACTTCCAACTTGATTTCACTATCCATGCAAAAATAGTTTTTATTAAAGAAAAAAAGCTACATCATAGAATAATTGAGCTGGAAAGTGCCTGTAAGGCCATCAAGCCCAACCCCATGCTCAATGCAGGAATCCAAATCAAAGCAGATCTGAGATAGGGTTGACCAATTTTCTCTGGAATGCCTCCAGTGTTGGAGCGCTCACCATCTCCTAAGGTAATTGGTTCCATTGTCGTACTGCTCTAACAGTTAAGAAATTTTTCTTGATATTCAGCCTAAATATGGCTTCCTGTAACTTGAGCCCATTATTGTGTGTCCTGCACTCTGGGATGATTGAGAACAAATCCTGTCTCTTTCAAGTATTTGAAAAGTGCTCTCATATCTCCCCCTCAGTGTTCTTTTCCCAAGGCTAAACACGCTGAGTTCTTTCCCTCTTTCCTCATATGGCTTGGTTGCCAAGTATGTTCATTATTTTTAAGAATGAAGACATTAGAGAAGAAACCTTTACAGCGGTTGCTGACCTTTATAGTGCTTTCACAGTCCCTGTTTTGAGCCTGATTTAAAAGGTGGGTCAAACTGTGCATGGAATATTTCTGAGGATGGATAAGATTTCTATAATTCACAAGCTGATCTCAACAGTTTGCTTTATCTTTGTCCCCATATTGAAAACAGTGTTGTTGTTTTGCAGTCTGTGAGACAGGATGAATTATAAGAAAAAGAAATTGGTGCCAATTTTATACTACATTATTTTAGTGGATGAAGTCTCAGCTAAAAATATTCTCGTTTGATCTCCTCAAATAAGAACTTACCAAAAAATGCTGGGTATGGACTTCCTTCAGATGAAAATGATTTTTGCCAGGTTGATGGCAAAAAGTGAAATCTTTACAAACAGGCCTCTGCTTAGTGATCAAAAATGATGTACATTTATAACCACCTTGATTGTATTTCTTTAGCTAAAAATTGTGCTACATTTCCTTGTTGTTCCATGAGTCAGTTGTTCCATGGATCTGAAAGACCTCAAAAGCTTGTCCTTTCCTATATTAGCAAATTACTGTCCTGATTTTTTTGAAACCATATTTTCTATTATTAAAGTCATCACACTACAAAAAGGTATCTTGTGTTACTGTAGAAAAGTCAGACAGACAAAATTTTCATTGGACAAGTGATATAGCCCAGAAAGAAAGGAACAAGAAACTTACAGTTTGACCGCCGAATCCACTGCTGACAACGTGCTTGTAATGTCCTATGGATGATGACCCCATTGTGTAAAGACTGCCCCCATGATAGCATCCTCTGTAGAAAGAATGGCATAATCAGTCTTTTCTAATTTCTATTCCTGCTAATGCTTCTACTGGTCATCATCTCAGATGTTTTGGTCCCTGAAATAAGGGAGGGAAAGGCAAATTTCTGACCATATGGATGACTTCCTCAGTACTGGTGGAAGATCTAAATAATGGTATATTCAGCAAGTTTTTGAGGCTGCTTTTCTGTCTAAGCCATTGTTTCCAAATGAATGCCTCTTACCTTAAGTTATTAAACTGCAGTAATTTACTCAAAGACTCAGCTTATCACCTACCGTAAGTTGGATCCTGAGGTCAGCTAGCCATCTCAACTGTTGACTCATCCTTCCAAGTTTGGTAAATTGGAGGAGGGCAATATATAGTCTGCATAATTAAATTATAAGTTGTCCAGAAAGTGCTTTAAGTCTTATGGGTGGTAAACAGCACACTTTTTTTTGCTTTGCTTTATCTTGGTTTTTATCTTGATTTCTTTTCCTTGTGAACATCAACATATGAAGAGTTCTCAAAACTCAAAAGGACTCATTTAGCATTTTGAGCATTAGTTGATGTAGCAGAAAACCATGTTTTTTGTCTTACACAAGGATACTGTCAATTCAGGATAGTATCATTGGCCTCTTTGCTGAGACACAAGGTAATCCTTGTTAATTCCAGAGTTTGGACAAATGGCTGTAATATATATGTACATGCTTGGAAAAGTTACTTTTTTGGACTATAGAATCTCCCAGCCAGCACAATTTTGCTTGCCCCACAGCAAAGGATATAGGAAGAAAGCATGGATTCTTAATAGACAGTTCAAAAGAGATCCTGGCATTCTCTTGGCTATCCACCAACTATCCACCTAGCTAAGAAACAGTTAGATGGTCAGTGGGTACAATACAGTCTGAAGGTGGGCAGGAAAGAATCGCGAACAATGAAGTTGGAAGGGGCCTATAAGACAAGACCACCAGGTCCACTGCCAAGTAATATTTAGTTCTAGCAGAAATAAAAAGAAAAGTACAGCACTCTGCAGAAGATGGCAGAGTAGAATCTCCAACCCCAATGAGAAAAGCAAATCACAAAACACTGATCTTAATTACCTCAAAGAAATAATATCAACGTTGCGTGTAAAAACTCTTGCCATAAGCATTGCCAGATCATTGGCTTCTGAACCACTGTTGGTTAGGTAAACCACCTGCAACAAAGACTTGAATCAGAATGCAGTATTGCAGAAAGTCAGCATTTATCTGCTCCTGATGCACAGTTACCAACTGGAGGAAATACAAACACAAAAGATCTGGTCTTACTCTTTGCATTTTAATTTTTAATTTTTAAAAAACGAATAACCTATCTTTCCAGCTCTCAGAGTAACACAATTTTTGCGTGTAAAAACTCTTGCCATTAGCATTGCCAGATCGTTGGCTTCTGAACCGCTGTTGGTTAGGTAAACCACCTGCAACAAAGACTTGAATCAGAATGCAGTATTGCAGAAAGTCAGCATTTATCTGCTCCTGATGCACAGTTACTAACTGGAGGAAATACAAAGACAAAAGATCTGGTCTTACTCTTTGCATTTTAATTTTTGAATTTTTAAAAAAACAAATGACCTATCTTTCCAGCTCTCAGAGTACCACAATTTATTCACATATTTTCAGACTGAGGATTCCTAGTACAGAAATCAGCATACCTTTAAGGGGTCCGGAAGCAGCGAGGTCAGCTTCTCTGCATACTCCTGGATTGGTGGGTGTATATAGATATTGCTTGTGTGCCACAAGCGGCCAAGCTGTTTCTGGGCAGCTGCAGTTACCTTCCTGGGTATATTAGAAAAGGTTTTTTAAAAGTCTTAAACCCAATTTAAAACAATATTACTTCCTCTGTCAATGAACATAGTGCCCTGGTTCACTAAAGTCTCCTTACATACAACATTTGTTTCTCTCAATACCTTTCTTGACATTATTCTCTGTTCAGCATGACAAAGCATAGGCTCTAGGCTTACCAGTATCCACTCCTAAGCTTCTATTTCAAAACTCAGTTTTCAGAAAATCATATGTATTCTGGAAATCATAGGAATTCTTTAGTAATTGTTAAAAAAGAAAAAAAACCAATTTCCATCCGAGATTCTCCTTTAGCGCTATTGTTGGGCCATCTGTGAGTTAATCAGAAGTGTTACTGAAAGCTAGCTAACCCATGCAATGAATTCCATGTAAAGTGTCATGGCATTAAAATATACTCCCAAAACAAACCTCAAAGTAAATTACTTTGCAACATATAAAAAGGAATGGGAAATCATGGATTTTGTTGCTGTTATAATCAGGACAGCTCTTACATTGCATGGATAGCAGGAAAAATGCTGATCTCATTAGCAATAAACCATATATATAAAGTAGAACAAATATTTCATCTGTAACAGCCTTGCCAGAGCTGAAACAAAGTAACTGAGAAACAAATAGGAGACATAAGAATGTTCACAGGGGATGCCAAGATTTTAAGCTTTATAGGTGAAAACAAAACAAAAATAATGAGAATAAAAATAAAGAGATAGACAAAAACGTGGTGGCACTTTAAAAACTAACTTTATATTATTTAATGGACAAGTCCACTTCATCAGAATTTTAAGATGTTAAGAACCTCCAAAAGAGGCACACATCCTCAGAACCAAATGTAGTGCCAATGAAGTGTGCTTGGTGGACACCAGGAGCCATGGAACGTTGAGTGTGGACATGAAACAGAAGGCCAACATGTGTGAAGATAGCATACAGATGGTGAATGTTGTGGCTGATGTTACAGAACAGTGGTTCTAAACACTTCTAATGTCCCACCAATAGCTCTGTCCAAGTCCCACCAGGATACAACTGCCCACTTTTTCCAAGAAAGACATTTACAGGTTTACCAGCCTTCTCTTGTTGTTTCTAAAATTTGTAGTAAATCAGGAGGGCAGGGAGAATAGGGAATAAGAGGAAACATTGAGTGTCCAAAGTTTCTTATGGAATGTCAAAATGAATTATCTGTGGCAGGTATGACGGGCAGGAGATGGTACAGCAGAAGAACATGGGAATTGAAGAAGAATGAATATTAGTAAGTGTTATGAAAATGCTACATCCCAGCTAAACCCTACATTTTTACATGTACCATTGGTTTGAGAAGCAGTGTCACGGGGCTTTGCAAAACCTGTTGTGTTGAGCAGGTAGAGGAAGAGACTTAGTCCTTGGGTTTGTGCTTCCATTAGGTAGCTTGTTCTCACCAGTGAGTAATTTATTCAGGCTACACTTTTATCTGTCAGTAAGAATTTGAGGCCTTCCTTTAAACATGTTGGCTGGACTAAGGCTGTGTAACCCATATGTGACATTAGGGTAACTAAGCCAGTGGCTGCAAGAAGCAAGCTAGACTGAGACACCTTTCTCTGCTCAGACCCACTAGGACACTAAAACAAATCCTCTAATTGTTCTGCAAAGAGCACAAGCTGCCTGTGGAATGTGAGTGTGCGACCCTTGAGATACAAGCCCATGGAATTCATCCCATACTTACGGATGGCAGTGGCCGACACCGACAGTCGCGATTCCAGCAAAGAGATCAAGGTACCGACGCCCCTCAAAGTCAAATAACCACTGCATGTGCCCTTGGTGGATGAGCAGTGGCTTCTTATAAACAGTGTACAAAGATGGGGACACATTCTGTTTGCGGATCTTCAGCATTTTTTCATACGAATAGGACTGCAGGAAAGAAGATTTTATACGAAGAAAATAATACTTGTGGATTTATATCTGTTCAACTGATCTTCCTCATAGTGGCAATATCAACAGACTATATCAGAAATCACTAGCCAGCACTTAGAAGTAAACAGTTAGTAGTAGTAACTAGTTGGTTTTGTGAACACACTACTTAACTGTTTTTTTTTTTGCTAACATAAACAATACCTAAGTTACTCAGACATAACTTTTAAAAATGGCTTTTAAACACATTTTAAGACATTTTAAAAAGGAATTTCACTGTATTTTTTTCCAGGATTGATATCACTGTCTTAAGCTATTTTAAGTGGCAGGAGAAATACTTGGGATGATTTGTTTATATAAACTTTGCAAAGTGCAAAATCAGAATTGGCATTGGCCACTAGAGGAAACAAAGCATTTCCCTGTACTTTCCCTGATGTGCTCATTTGTGCTTAAATATACTCCTCACTCATCAATAATCATTGAATTAATCTTAGCAACCACCATTAAAATCTCTATCTGTTGTTCCCAACTGCTGTCAATTACTCTTACCAGCCACTGATTGACCATTCCCATAAACTGGGCTAACATATTTGCACTTTCATCACATTTAGTACTCCTACCCGCCCCAATGCTAGATAAATGTCAGTCTACTGAAGCTACTTTCCATGCATCTGAAGATGTGTGCTACGGCTCAGTGGTCCTGGTGCAGGGAAGGCATTCATGGGCTTACTACAGTGTAAGAAAAATTAAGCCCCCCTGTGTGCTACATTTTTAACATGCTGATGCACACAACAGATTCAGACAGATGAAAACAGGTGTAAAAATACAAGTACAGTGGTGCCTCGCTTGACGAAGATAATTCGTTCTGTTCAAATCGCTGTTAAGCGAAATCCTTGTCAAGTGAAATTTAAAAATCCATTGAAATGCATTGAAAACCGGTTCAATGTGTTCCAATGGGCTAAATACCTCATCGTAAAGCAAAGATCCTCCATAGGATGGCCATTTTCCATTGCCTGTAAAGTGAGGAATCCATCCTAAAGCACAACGGGGAGCCATTTTGCACAGTGGGGGCCGCCATTTTAGGGCCGCCGATCAGCTGTTTTAAAATCGTCTAGCGAAAAATCAGTTCCTGAAGCAGGGAACCGATCATCGGTAAGCGATTTTTCCCCATCGGAACATTGTTTTGACGATTGCAAAAACTTCATCGTAAAGCGGTTTCATCATTCAACGAGGTAATCATTAAGTGAGGCACCACTGTACAGACAAAACCTACAAAAATATATGCATTAACCAGTAATACAGTAAAACACTTAAGAACAACTTATCCATACAGAACAGAGTCAACACATACCTCATATTTGTCAGGTACAAACTCACAGGGAGGCATTTTTGATCGCAAGCAGAAAGAATTTTTCAGTTCCTGTTGCCAACATACCTCTGATTTAAAAAGAAAAAAAAGTTGAATGAGCAGAATTACCAGAAACAAAAATAGCAGAAACAAAAGCTCATTTTGCACCGGTTTATTTTGGCAGCCATTTGCAGTGACACTGCCTGTGATGGATGAAATGTCATATTGCGCCATGTGACTCTGGGAAAGCATTATGTGAGCAAGGGCATAATTTAGACAAAAGAATATAGGACATTGCTTTCCATGTAAGTAGGCTTGATATATTTTTAACACCAGATTTGACAGGTACTATCTCTCTTTTCTTCTTTCCCTTCCATCCAATCACTACCAATTTTCAGCTGCAGTGTCCCCAGAGACATGACGGCTTCTGTGCTTTCCTAGGAATGTGAAAAAAATCAATCAGCCCATGACATTATTTATAAAATTGTACTTTGTCTTCCCATGCCTCATCCTCTTCAAAGATACTGAGGTCACTGTACATGGTTCCTCTTTTTAATCAACACAACAGTCCTGTGTGGTAGGCTTGGCAGAAAATCAATGTAAAGTTGCTGAGTAAGTTTACCTGACTAAATACAGATTTGGGCCAAAATCCAAGTTGTCTTCGGCAGAACTCCAGTCTTCCTCCTATCCTCCCAAGATCCTATTGTTCCCTGACTGTAAGTCTCCTCGGGTGCACAACGGGTATATTTCTCAACCCTTGAAAACATCCTGCAAATGTATAACTTTTAAATATGTACCCAAAAAATTCCATTTCTATGGGATGTGTTGTTCTTGATATTCTTTGTTATGTGCCATCAAATTACTTCCAACTTGTGCCAATCATATGAGTTAATGACCTCCAGATGGTCCTGCCATTAACAACCCTGCTTAGATCTCACAAATTAAAGGCCATGGATTTATTTTACTGAGACAATCCATCTCACATTAGATGTTCTTCTTTTCCTAGAATTATTGTCTTTCCCAGTGACTTTTGCCTTCTCATTATATATTAAAGACATGAGAAATTCAGTTTAGTTATTGTACTTTGCACCAATATATCAGGCTTGATTTGATCTAAAACCCATTCTATTTGTCCTTCTGGCAGTCCATGGTATCTGTAAAGCTGATGGCACTAGGACAGCTAGGTGATCAAAGAGGGAAAAGAAGTGAGGAATCAACAGAGAGATAGGAGGAAGTTTTCGGTTCAGCCTTGTTTCCAGCTTGTTAAGGCTGCTCTGCATTGGCCATCCAAATTTGCATGAGAGATGGTTAGAACAGAGCTGTCTTAAAACTTCCTTTCTCTCTGCCAAATACTCATATTTACTGGTTGTGTAGCTACTTAACAACTAAACAACAAAAAGTTGCCTAGCACTGGATTAACAAGCCAATAAAAGAATAAACAAACAAACAAATGGAATGGGAAGAAGAAAGCAGCCCCAGACACCAGGTGTGGGGAGGAGAGGATTCAGAGGCTGCCAGTTTCCCTTCTAAATTGCTTCTCACAGGGTGCCACTACACAGCAAGAAGTTGCTGTGAAGTTGCACCTGGGAAGTTGGGTTTCCCTGGGTAGATTTGAGCTAAAAGCCAATAAAAGAATAAACAAACAAACAAATGGAATGGGAAGAAGAAAGCAGCCCCAGACACCAGGTGTGGGGAGGAGAGGATTCAGAGGCTGCCAGTTTCCCTTCTAAATTGCTTCTCACAGGGTGCCACTACACAGTAAGAAGTTGCTGTGAAGTTGCACCTGGGAAGCTGGGTTTCCCTGGGTAGATTTGAGCTAGCTGGCCACACAGGGAGAAAGGGGTGGTTTCTAGCCCTTGTACAGTATCCGAAACCATTTCAGTTGGTTGCAGCAGCAGTAAGAGTGTGATTACATTTAAATAACGTGCTAGAAATGCTCCTGAATTATTTGTCAATGACATTGCACCCAAAGTGTAATAAAATAAATAAATAAATAGATAGATAGATAGATAGATAGATAGATAGATAGATAGATTAATTCATATGTCTGGCCCAATAAATCACTCTTAACATATGTGTAGCCTGTATAATTAAAAAATGTAAACCGCCCGGAGAGGGCTTGTAGCGCTATGGGGAAATAAAATAAATAAATAAATAAATAAATAAATAAATAGTCTTCTTTGATAGCACTGGGCCCCATACAGAAAACACACTGCAGTTCAAGGATGTTAATCTGGATTAATCAGTACAAAGGAAAGGAAAATGTGAACAAGGTGTACTTTTTGAGAAACGTGTGATTATATCTCACACTCTGGTTAAACTTCCCAGTTAAAAATTCTCCTTTACGGATGATTAAGGCCCCATATCAGCCTACTGAACTTCTAAAATCTGGGGAGGCCCCTCTCTTGGCTCCACCACCTTCCCAAGCTCATCTGGAGAGGGCAGGAGAGAAGGTCTTCTCTTTGCAATGTATTGCCTAGAGAAGCCAGATTGGCCCGCCTCCCTCTTGTCCTTCCATTGTCAGGCAAAGTCCCTTCTCTTCAGGCAGGCTTTTAAGAAATAAGTGATCTTGTCCTTCCATTGTCAGGCAAAGACCCTTCTCTTCATGCAGGCTTTTAAGAAATGAGATCTAAGAAACACTCCATTTATGAAACTGAGATATTTTTAATTTTTAAAAGTTTTTTTAATTAAATGTTGATTGATGTTAAACTGTGTTTTAAATAGATAGCTTTGTATACTTGAAAGGCTGGCATACAGAAGAGTGGCAGGATCTGTTCTAGAGTGCAGGACATGCAACAATGGGCTCAAGTTACAGGAAACCAGCTTATGATTGAATATCAGGCGAAATTTCCTAACTGTTAGAGCAGCAGGATAGTGGAACCAGGTACCCCGGGGAGTTGGCCAATGCTCCAACACTGGAGGCATTCGAGAGAAACTGAGACAACCACCTGGCAGATATCCTTTGATTTGTATTCCTGCATCAAGCGGGAGTTCGACCTGATGGCCTTATGGACCCCCTCCAACTTCACTATTCTATGATTCTGTACTATTTTAATGTACTCTTGCACGGTTCCAATTGTTGTTCCAAGAGTAACGTATTACTGTTCCACGGGTCCAATACGACCCTGTGGAGAGAGGGTCGTATATCAATCAATCAACCAACCAATGGCAGGGAATGTAAGGCGGGAGGCGGGGACAGGGATTGGTACCCACTGGTTTCCCTGCTTGGTGCCGGCGGCGCACGGGCGCCTCCGCTGGGGTCTTCCCCGCCGCCCTGCACTCGGGCGCCTTCCCCACGAGAGACGAGAAAGGGGCGGCGGGCGAGGTTTCTCTACTGCCTCAGCGCCTCTCGAGGCGGGAAGATGGAGATGGAGGAGAAGACAAGCCCTGGCGGGACTAAAGCTGCCTTTTTTTGCTTTGCAGTCTCTGTGCCTAATCCTAGCAGGGCGAGGGGCGGCGGTAACCTCCTCAGGCGAGCGCGCTCTGCATGTCCTCAGAGGGACGCTTGTGCGTCCGGGAAAAAAAATTAGGGAATAAAAGTAACACAAAACCGAACCGGTGAAAGGGGAGGGGGGAGTAAACTGGCCTCTCCGGCTCGGTGGTCGCAAGAGGCACCCCACAGAGCTCCTGTCGTCTGTTTCCCTCCTTTGTCTCCCTGCTCCGGCCGGCGGCCCCCCAGTTTTACCTTGCCTTGAGAGCAGCCTCGCCGGGCGGGGTCGGTTGCCTGCCACGAGCCGGGCCAGGCGGCCGAGGAGAAGCCGCCCTCCACGCGAAGCCATGCCGTTGTTGCTCCCCCGAAATGAGCCGCCGCCGGAGAGCGGCCACGGGGGTGGAGGACCAGGGGAGGCTCGCCCGGGCCGCCAATGGCAGCCGAGGTGGCGTCGCCGCCTCCCCCTTGGAAGGGCCATCGCGGGGTCGATAAACTTCGCGCCCTCGGCGGGCTGCCTCTCCCAACACGTTTTTCTTTTCCCCCCAGATATTTAAATACCATTTCCAGGAAATTACACGTATCACTAGTTAACAGGGGAGGTTCACGTCAAGAAGGATGCATTTCCCTCAAGGGAGAGCAGCCTCCTCACGAAGCCCATTTTCCGAGCTTCCTCCCCGGGTTACCCGGCCCGCGCTTCCCAGGAACTTTTTTTGGGGGGGGACTCGTAACTCCCTCATCCGGGATGGGTGAGTGAGGAGTGGTGGTTATGAAAAAAGGGGAAAGCTTTCAAAGCTTTGGCACGCTGAGAGGGTTCGATGGGACGGTCTCGTGGAGCTTCCCTTTCCCCAAGGACTTCACCAGACGCCAGCTGTTTTGATAACCATGGAACATTTATTTCTGAACATACGAATAAACCATTGTCCTGAACTGGTACATAAGTCTCTTTCTCCTTCCTCCAACATGGTGGGAAAGGGCTACCAGTCATCCAAAAGGAAGGGGTTACCCGGGCTAGAGTTCTGTGGGGGCCTGGTGGCTCCCTTGGGTGACCATTCTTTGACCGTCGTTCCCGTTTGTATAGGCAACAGGGGCACCGAGGGCTCTCCCAGGAATTCCTCCCACTTGGGGTATCCGCCGGGTTCCAATGTCTAGCAGGCCTGCTCCGGTCTGCCATTCTCATCATCATCTCCCATGCTTTCCATTCACTCCTCTCTCTCTCTCTCTTTTCTCTTGCTCTGCTCTGCCCCTTTCTTCTCTTAACTTTCTTTTCCACTCCCCAGCTTCTGCCTCTCCCCAGTAAGATGTTTTTTTTTTGGGGGGGTTACTTCTCTCCTCCTGTGGCCTGCCTCTTCTCTGGGCACCTTCAGCCTTTCCCACTTCTGGGTTCAAGGATCTTGCAACCAGATCCACTCCCAGCCTGGAACTCATGTGTCTCCTCTCTCACCTTCCCTGACTTCTATCTCCCTCTTCCTTCTACTTCCTTCTCTTGCCTCTTTTAGCTGCCCTTCCTTTACTCCCATCCCCCTCAAGCCGTGGGGCAATTCCTCCTCTTCTGCCCCCTGATGGGTCTCCTCTGGGGCTTTCTCTGAAGTCATCAGAAGTCCACATTCCCCTCCTTGCTTTGTCTCTTTGGCGGGAATGGACAGCGCTCCAGCCAGTGGTGACCCTGACTTGCCTCTGGGCTCACACACGCACCTTTCTGAGCCTTCTCACAAGCCCGTTTCGTCATCCTGGCAAGCCACCTGGACAGCCTGTGGTTTGTTGTAGCATTGCCACGGAGTGAGCCACTTTGGCAGGCCCAGAGGCCAATTTTCTGACACTGGGACTTTCCGGGAGCCGTTTCCATGCTCAGAAGTTCAGCTGCCCCACACCCACACCCCGCGCCCAAACTCTCTCTGAAGTGATTAGAAATCTAGTTTGGAAAAAAAGTATTTCAGGGTGTTGGATGGTGCAGCTGCCTTATCGCACTGAGGAAGTGAATAGATAAGAGGGGCTTTCTAGGAGGTGTAATCCCTCCTCCTCCTCCCCCCGAAAAAGAGTGAGGGGTGGGGGCAGTATTTTGGAAGATTTCATGCTGATTCAGGACCACACTTTTTGACCATGCCCAGCTAGCAAAGGTTTTACCACGCTGATGCTAATGCTTCTGCTCACAGCGCAAATTGAATCAATATATTTATTACCCAACTTTCTCATTTCTTTCTCTCCACCTCTGCTCCCTCAAGCCCACATGGATCTCTGTGACACAAACCCTCCCCATTACCTGCTTGCTCAAGGTCACTACTGCCCAAGCAAATTGTGTGGGGTTTTTTGTTTGTTTGTTTGTTTGTTTTGGGAAGGGAGGGGTTTGCCCCTGAGGTCTTGGTTTGAGTGGAACAGATCTGGGAACTGCAGGCACCATGTCCAAAGGTTGCCTGAGAACATTCTGTAGCCAGTGGTGGAGCAGGAAAGAGTGTCTGCCTCCAGTTCAAAATGCACAGTACATACCCCCAAGTTCTGCCAAACTGCAGAGAAAAGTCCCATAGGCAGCCCACTTCAGTAAAAATGCAGTGCTACCATGCAAAACGATCTGCTGTAATGTGGGAGCCCGCCTAGCGTTTGCCACACTATGGGTGCTTCCTAGTCTTGTTATGGTGTCTCCACATTGTTATATGTGCTTTTAATTTTTACATTTTTAGACACACACACACTTTCCCTAGGCCAAGCAAGCTTATAATCAGCATACCTGTGAGGTAGCAGAGATGTGAGGTAGTTGGGGTAGAGGGCTCTGCAAGGAGCTGATAATTCCTTCTGCTAGAAGCTAATGTCAAAGATGTTAGATAACTATAACCCCTACCCATCTGCCTTTTCATACCTTCCTTACCCATTTAATACACAACATGTTTTGTTTCACATTTGTAACTTGGGATTTATCTCTTCTTTTGATTTGAGAAACCCCTTTCTGACGTGATGGTTGGGGGCAGACAGGATGTCATGCTGCATAAGAAGCTGAAAGCACATAAGAACATAAGAAGAGCCCTGCTGGATCAGGCCAAGGGCCCATCTAGTCCAGCTTCCTGTATCTCATATGGCCCCACCAGATGCACACGTGGCAACTAGATACCTGTCTCATGATACCCCTCCTCTGCATCTGGCATTTTGAAGTACCTTCCTTTTAAGCCTGGAGATTATACATCCCCATCATGGATTGTAACCTGGAATGGATTTTTCCTCTAGGAATCTGTCCAATCCCCTTTTAAAGGCATGTAGGTCAGATGCCATCACTACATCCTGTGACAAGGAATTCCACAGGCTAACAACATATTGAGACAGCCTCTCTCTTTTTGCTTTGCAACCCTCTTTCCTGTTCTGTTATTTTGCTGCCTGCTGCTCTGTATGTTTCTTAAATTCTCTATAAAAATGGATTTTTCCTCTAGGAATCTGTCCAATCCCCTTTTAAAGGCATGTAGGTCAGATGCCATCACTACATCCTGTGACAAGGAATTCCACAGGCTAACAACATATTGAGACAGCCTCTCTCTTTTTGCTTTGCAACCCTCTTTCCTGTTCTGTTATTTTGCTGCCTGCTTCTCTGTATGTTTCTTAAGTTCTCTATAAATTTATTTGACCATCCTGTGTTTTGCGCCTGTCTTTCTGAATCCCATGGGTCCACGGGACTCTAGTAGTTGTCCTTGATCACAGCAAGTCTTCCCCATTTAAATAAACTAGGCTGCTATTCCATCTTTTCCTCCTTAACAGATTTTTGTGGAAAGAAAAAGGGAAAGTGCTGTACGGGTGATTTATTTCTTCTCTTCTTTCAATTTCCTTTATTCCTGGTGTGTCATGTCTTAATTTTTAAATTGCCCTATTACCTTTCTTGAAGGGGGACAAGACAGAGCCTCAGTGAAGAATGTAGACACATTTGTGTGTCTCCTGGGCAAGGACAGCACTAGAGATGGGCACAGCTGGCTTGCTTTTTTTCACCTTCTCAGCTAATTTCCCAGTCAGAAGCAAGAGCACAGTCGTCTCTGCCCTGCCCTGTTGTCTGAGTGGAAGATCAGCCAAGAGGGCAGGGCAGAGAAGCTGCTCTGGGAGACTTTTGACCGACTGAACGACCAAACGAACGAACGAACGAACAACCGACCGACCGACCTACCTACCTACCTACCTACATCATCATAGGCATCCTTCAGTCTCGAGATACTATGGTAACGTGCTCTGTATGGAGGACTTGGAAGAGTGGCTAGTGTTTTGACGCTGTATGCGAAGCTGGAGTGTCCCCTCCAGGGCACAAAGCCTGGGTAAAATAATATGGAGGATAGGCTGTTACCCAAGCAGCAAATCCCCCCTCTCCACGTTGCTGAAATAGTCCAATGGAAAGGCAAGAGCCAATACAACTGGTTCCAGCGACGTTGCAGGAGTTGCCAGAACAGGACAAACTGCCTCCGAGACTTTGGTTCTGGATTTCGCCTCGAGGTTAACTCCTGAAGCCTTTTCCATTGGTAGATATAGCCACAAGGCCCAGATATATATATACACACACACACACACACACACAGAACTTGGGAGTACGTACTGTGCCTTTTGAACTGGAGGACTATAGAATGCCCTCCCGACTGACCAGGTCAAAACCTTCCTGTTCCAGAAGGCTTTTAATTGAAATAATATTAGCTGTGGGTCTGATGGCAATTTTTATATATATTTTAATCGTATTTTAAATGTTGAATTTTTATTGTATTTTAAATGTTGTAAGCCACCCAGAGACCTTTGGGTAGTGTGGGCGGCATATAAATTAATTAAATAAATGAATAAATAAATGAATAAATAAATGAATGAATAAATGAATAAATGAATAAATAAATGAATAAATGCATACATACATACATACATACATACATACATACATACATACATACATACATACATACATACATACATACATACATACATACATACATACATACATACATACATACATACATACATACATCTCAATGCCACCCTGCATCCTAGAAACATTCAATGAATAAAGCTAACTGAATAACACTGTAAGGTGTGGGCTTGAGGTGAAAGGACTTGAATCTTTTCCAGAAACACATCAAGGGGCCTATTGTAACATTTTATGCTTCTTTTCATTGCTTATACATAGATAACCGTCTGCATCACCTCAAGGGAGAGAATAAAAGATTCTCTAATAGAGAGGGAAGAGACCAGTTTGAATTGTATCAGGTACAAACAAAAGATAAAAAATTAAGACAAAAATATTCTAACACCTTAAAGACTAACTGCTGTAATTTGATGTTAACTTTCGTGGACAAGTCCCCTTCCCCAGTTTGAGCTGGGGAGTCAGATCCACCTCGACTAACTGCTGTATTTTGATGTTAACTTCCGTGGACAAGTCCCCTTCCTCAGTTTGAGCTGGGGAGTCAGATCCACCCCTCGTGCACTTCCCACAGGTTGAATGATGCTGGAACAGCAGCTACACCTCCTGATGCCCTTGGCTTCAGATGGAATTGTGGAGAAAGGGTTCGGTGAACTCA